GTTTCATTGATTCTTTACAATGTTTTCCTGGTTTCTACTTGATTGATTTCAGCCCTCAATTTGATTATTTCCTGGCGTCTACCCTTCCTAGGTGAGTTTGCTTCTTTTTGTTCTAGAGCATTCAGTTGTGCTATTAATTCTCTAGTGTGCCTGTTCTCCAGTTTCTTCATGTGGGCATTTAGTGCTATGAACTTTCCTCTCAGCACTGCTTTCTGAGAGTCCCATATGTTTGGATACATTGTGTCTTCATTCTCATTGAACTCCAGGAAGTCTTTAATTTCTTTTTTTTTTATTTCTTCCTTTCCCCAGGGATGTTCCAATTGTGCATTGTTCAATTTCCATGAGTTTGTATGGTTTCTGCAATTTGTGTTATTGTTGAATTCTGATTTTAATGCCTGGTGGCCAGATAAGATACAGGGGGTTATTCCAATTTTTTTGTATCTGTGGAGGTTTGCTCTGTTTCCTATTACGTAGTCGATTTTAAGGGAAGGTTCCATGTGGTGCCGAGAAGAAGGTATATCCCTTTGTGTTTGGGTGTAATGTTCTATAGATGTCTGTTAAACGCAGTTGGGTCATAACTTCTATTAGTTCTTTTGTTCCTTTGTTAAGTTTCTGTCTGGAGGTCCTGTCTAACGGTGAGAGCAGAGTGTTGAAGTCTCCTACTACTAGTGTGTGAGATTTTATGTGTGATTTGGTCTTTAGTAATGTTTCTTTCACGAATGTGGGTGCCTTTGTATTTGGGGCATATATTTTCAAAACTGAGACTTCATCTTGATGGACTTTTCCTTTCATGAATACGTAATTTCCTTCTTCATGTCTTTTGATTGATTTTAATTTGAAGTCTAGTTTGTTAGATATTAGGATTGCTACACCAGCTTGTTTCTTGGGTCCGTTTGATTGGAAAGTCTTTTCCCAACCCTTTACGTCTGTCTTTGATATTGAGATGTATTTCTTGTATGCAGCAGAAGGATGGGTTCTGTCTTTGTATCCATTCTGCTAGTCTGTGTCTTTTTATAGGCAAGTTGGGACCATTGACGTTGAATGATATTAAAGATCATTGTGTAGTTTCTCCTCCCTTTTTCTTTTGGTGTTTGGTAAAGTGGGATTATCTATTGCCTGTGTCTTTGTGAGTGTAGTTATCTTCCTTGGATCTAGGTTTTCCTTCTAGCACTTTCTGCAGAGCTGGATTCATGGATATGTATTGTTTAAATCTGGCTTTGTCATGGAATATTTTGTTTTCTCCATATATGGTAATTGAGAGCTTTGCTGGATATAGTAGTCTGGGCTGGCATCCTTGTTCCCTTAGCGTTTGTAGGACATCTGTCCAGGATCTTCTGGCTTTCATAGTTTCCATTAAGAAGTCGGTGTAATTCGGATGGGTCTTCCTTTATATGTTACTTGGCCTTTTTGTTTAGCTGCTCTTAATATTTTCTCTTTATTCTGTAGGTTTCATGTTTTCATTATTGTGTGGCAAGGTGAATTATTTTCTGGTCCAGCCTATTTGGTGTTCTGTAAGAGTCTTGTATTTTCATAGGCATATCTTTCTTTAGGTTAGGGACGTTTTCTTCTATGATTTTGTTGAATGTGTTTCCTATACCTTTAAGCTGTATTTCTTCGCCTTCTTCTACACCTATTATTCTCAGGTTTGGCTTCTTCACTGTGTCCCATATTTCCTGGATATTTTGTGTTAGGGATTTGTTTGTTTTGAGATTGCAATTGGTTGATGACTGTATATCCTCGAATGAGTCTTCATCACCTGCGATTCTCTCTTCATCTCTTGTATTCTATCCATGATACTTGCATATGTAGTTCCTGATCGTTTACCCAGCTTTTCTATTTCCAGTATCCCCATATTCTATGTTTTCTTTATTGTTTCTATTTAATCTCTCAATCCTTCAACATTTTGAGTTGTTTCCTTCATTTGTTTAGTTGTTTGCTCTTGGTACTCTTTAGACTCTTTAAGAAATTTGTTTATTTCTTGAATTTTTTGTTCATCTTTTCCTCCATTTCATGCATTTTTTGTTTATTTTTCTTCTATTTCTTTAAGGGATTTCCTCATTTCCTCTTTGTGGGTCTCTATCATCTTCATAAAATGTCTCTTCTGCTTCATCTATGTAGTGCTTTTCAGGTCTTGCTGGTGTTGGGTCTCTAGATTCTGGTGGAGTCATGTTGGTCTTTCTATTGCTGAGTGAGCTCTTATTCTGTCTTCTTCCCATCTCTTCTTCCAGTGGGTGCAGGTGGGGTCTTTCTGTCTCCACTGGTCCCCTTCTTTCCTGAAGCTGAAGCTGGGGATGCTGGAGGGTGGAGTCTGGAAGGACTGATGCCTTTCCTGTGTGGTGGATCCTCTGGATGAAAGGAGTGGGGCCCCAAGAAGATTGAGGGAGTGGGTGATGGGTGGCAGGGCTTGGTCCCAGTTGGACCCAAGCTCACCTGAATGTGGGGATGCTGGAGGGTGGGGTCTGGAAGGACTGATGCCTTCCTATGTGGTGGATCCTCTGGATTCCCAGATTGGCCTCCAGGAAGAGTGAGGAAGACGGTGATGGGCGGCAGGGGGTGATCCCAGGAGGACTGAAAATCACCTGACCTGGGGACAATGGATGGTTGGGTCTGGAAGTAATGATGCCCTTCCTGTGTGGGGGTCATCTGCATGCAAGGAGTGGCCTAATGGAAGCTTGAAGGAGTGGTATTGCACAGCAGGGGAGTGGTCCCAGGAGGACCCAAGCTCACCTGAACCTGGGGCCGCCGGAAGGTGGAAACTGGAAGCCAAAATTCTGGATTAAAACATTTTTTTTGTCTTTTAGGATGATTTTTGTCCTGACTTTTTAATTGTCTTTGGCCCTTTAGTGAAGGCTTTGAAGAGAAATCTTGCAGTCTCTGCCACAGATGGATTGCGCATCTGGGGCTTCCCCCTTAAAGAGGTTTCCCACAGTCCTACCATACATCCCATGCCACATAAGATGGTAATTCCATAAGCTCACTACCACAATAGACAAGTACCTGACGGGAGATACATTATTTCCAAATTCTAAGTTCTGTCAATTGAGTGCCCACCCAGATCATCATAGTTGTGCTTCTCAATTGGTTCTCTTCTAAGGAAGGCATTTTGCTTTGAATGGAAAGTAAGGAGTGAAGGGAGGACTGCATCTCAAGAGGAGGGAACATTTGAACACCAATGTTTAGATAGAAGCCTGACATCCAAACAGCTACCTTCATGTCATTTCCTCTTTGCCCCTGATATTGAAACTACTGTCTTGTCCTGTACAATATACCCTGATTAGAGTTTCCTCTCCCTTTAGTCCCCCAGTTCCTGCCCTTACCCATGTCATCCAGAGACTCTGAGAATGGCCTGGCCACTGTTGGGCTGATTGTAGCTCCAGGTGTGAATCCTGTGACATGCTGAGCAGTGGTATGAGGCTGAATCAGGATTCAACTCCCTAGTCTCATTCATGCTTTCTTCTTCCATTTCCATCTGAGAAAATCAGTGACGCCGGCTACTGCCAATCAACTGTAGGGACATCTACATGCAGGACCGAGCCCGCTGTCCCTGCAGCCCTACTGCTATCTGGCCCTCAGTGACCCTGCCCCGCCCACCCCATGGGTGCTCAGTACAGTGTCCAGCACTGCTCTCCTCTCATTTTCTAGTGAGACACAGAAACAGAGTGCATCCCGAAGGCTTGGTCGTTGGAGTGGAAGGTGGAGGAGTAGAGGTAACTGAAAGTAAAATCAGGATGTATTATGGAGGAAAAGTTTTCTTGTGAATTTTAAAGTGAAGGATATTCCCAGAAAGATGTATATCACAAAGGAATCACAGTTCAGGGATGTGCTGACATGTAGTTTGATAGTGGTTCGTCATTTGAGGATCAGGTTTTATCCAACAATGCCTCAAAGCTAGTCCACTGTCAACAAAGAAATGTTACTACTCCTCCCCTTGTCCTCATTTGAGTTTTGGTTCCTTCCCTCCTGGCCTCTCTTGTTGCTTTTGTCTTCATTTTACTTAGGCCCCTCCCCTTGTCCCGTGCTACCTTACCCTGTTTCCTCTTACTCCTTGTCTTTATCTAGGAATTCTAAGTTAAAGTCTTCTTTTGATAGCATTCTTCTTAGTATCCCAGTAATTGTTGAGGTTGAGCAATGTCCTCAATTGTAGACCCAGCGTTCTATACTCTGGCATCTTTTCTCGTTATATGTGTGATTTTTCACTCTTCTGAAGTTAAATAAAGTATTTCCTTAAGGAGTTTTTGTGTTGATACATGTACACAATGTCTTGTGAAGAAGGGGGCACATTGTAATGAAACTCTCACTTTCAGAAGCTTCCAATGCAGTTGGTGAGATACATAAACGTAGCGAAGTTCACAGCACATGAGGATTTTATGAACAAGTAGAAAGCTCATTTTCAGTCGTTGCAATGAATGAAGTGATAAATTTTGGGCGACAAAATTATGAAACAAGATGTGTAGGCGCCCCAAATTAGAAAAAAAATATAACAAAGACAAGTTCGCAAAGAGTATAGATGTATGATCAGGAAAGGTGTTGGAAACTAGCCATTTTCTGGAATATAATAGCATATTGCTAGTCAGCAACACATAGTTATTAATTCCCCATGATACTGTCCAGTTGAACTAATGCTAATGCCTGAATTGGAATTAAAATGTATCTGCCTGAATAATTCCAAGTAGTATTGTTATCCTACCTTGTTTTGAAGAATATAAATTGTATTATGAATATTTTCCTTTGAACACAAATTGTTTTGTCATCCAATAAATGTCATAAAAATGTGATAACCATGGTCAAAGGGAGGCTGTAAGAAATAATCAAAGGACTGGATGGCATGGCTTTAAAGGCCTACAAATGTTGGATTAGTCCATCTGCATTCATATATTCTCTGATCAGGGTGTCTTGGATTATGGGGATGTAGCTCAGCGGGAGAACGCGTGTTTACCATGTATGAGGTCCCAGGTCGATCCCAGGCATCTCCAAAGTGTTTATTTTTTTTTCCCTTTCAGGAGCTTATTAAGGATGTGTCTCAGACTTTAACTTCCTGTTATGCAATCCTATTTGCATCGCTAATTAGTGGATGAAGTTGCTCATCTGTCACCCCTCCACAGTGTTCATCTCTGACTGTGAGGACATTTCCATGGAGACCACCATGCTCTGGTGAGTACAATGTGGTCATGACTCCAGGGCTGTGTTTGGTTCGTGAATATAACAAAAAAGCAAAGCTCTGCATTCGTCCTGATGACTCTTCGATGGGTGCGCTTTGTAGTTTGATAGCAAGAGGGGAAGAGTTTTTGTTGTGAGAGCAAGGAATGGAGCTCTGAGCTCTCTTATACTGTGGCTTCTCTCTGCTTATATTTATTACATTTTCACTCTTCTCAACATATACAAAGTACTTATTTAATGATGTTTCATGATGAGACACATACAAGATGACATGTGAAGAAGGGGGCATACTGTACTAAAAATTCACTTTCAGAAGCATTTCTGAAAATTTCAGAATGAAGTTGATGAGATACATAACCATATACAGATGTTAACAGCCCATTAGGAGTTTACAAACTAATAGTTAGCTCAATATAAATTGTGGCAATAAATGAAATATTAAATAGTGTAGGAAAGTTATGAAACAACATGAATAGCCTACCCCAGATTAAAAAAAAAGTTTTTGAATCCCTGAAAGTGAAGGCATGTTCTAAAAGAGAATATATCTGTGATCAGGAAGGTTTCTGTAAAGTACCTATGGTATCATATATGACAGCATATTGCTAGCCAACAACACATAATTATTAATTCCCCATGACAATGTCAGGTTGAACCAATACTACACCCTAAACGTGAATGGGATGGGCCTGCTAGTTTGAAGTAGTACTTAGTGTTATCCTGCCTTGCTTTGAAAAATCCAAATTATATTATTATTATTAATGTAGTTATGATGAATATTTTCCCTTGATTGAAAACAAATTTTTTCGCATCCAATAAAAGTCATAAAATTTTATGAAGTTTTTCAACTGTAAGCCATAAAATATAGTCAAATGAACTCCTGTTTTACTTTGCAGCATTTATGAATCCGGGTCCAGTCTCTGCATTCATATGAGGTTTGATCAACCTTGTTAGGAAGGTGGGGATGTAGCTCAGTTGGTAGAGCATGTATTTCGCATATACGAGGTCCCGGGTTCGAGCCCCGGCATCTCCAAGGTTTTACTTTTAGAGTTTGGCGTTTCATTTTCAGGACCTATTAACACGAGGTGTCCCAGAGGTTAACTTTGTGCTGTGAGGCCGAGGTGGCATAGCTGACTAGTGGATGCAGTTGCTCATCTGTCACTGGACAACACTGTTCATCGCTGACTGTGACCTCTGTGGTCTGGTGAGTAGAATGTGGTCTTCGCTCCAGGGATATGCCCTCTGCACGGGTCTAACCAATAAGGGAAGCTCTGCTGTCGTGCTGGGGGCAGTGTGTCTAATGGGAGTGCTTTCTAGACCTATGAGAAGGGTGAAGAGCTCTTCTTGCTGTGAGGGGCAGGGAGGGAGGGAGGGCTGGGCGGAGCTATTCCTGGTCACTGAAAGCAGGAAGCACTTGTGGTTATCATAGAAACCTGGGGTCATTATGGCGATTGCTTGCAATGGCCGCCCAGGCTGTGTTCTGAAAGGAGCATCCTGGTGTTTGGACTGAGTGAGCATCTGGGTTCCCGGAGGAGGTGAGTAGCTGAATCTTCCTGAGGGTGGGGAGGCAGGTGCAGGGATCGCACACCCGACAGGTTCACAGCCGCTTCGGGGTTTGCAGCCAGCATGTCTCCAGGAGGAGAGGGGCTTGGGAGCATGCTGCCTGCTCAGTGTGCTGTTCTGTCTGTACCTGGGGGTGCTGGAGCCATAGGAGGAGTGTTCTGGGAGAGGGAGCTCCCTCAGATCCCAGCTTGCTGCTCTGTGCAAAGGGGATGGCGCCGCTCACCCAGAGGATCTGAGGGGCACTAAAAGGAAACGCTAAAGTGTAATCAGTGATCACCCTAAGGTGACTATTCAAATATGCAGTTGCTGAGCGGATTACTTTTCCTTCCCAGTGGTTTGCGATTCAGTTTGGTTCAGAGGCAGTGCTTCTGTGTGTCCTACCTCTCATCTCAGGTGGATGGAAGGACCAAGGCACTTTGGAGTAATTCAATTTCATCAGCTGTCCCAGGACTCCCTGGTAGGTGTTAGATTAGTAGTGCTTAGATATGGTGGGTGCCTTCATGTGTAACTATTTCTGTTACTATTGTGAAGATATTCCCTTCCCATCAACCTTTCTCCAATACATTTTCAATATGCCTATAAGGGTCATATATCACATCACTTATACTTCTTGCTTCAACCATCAAAAGGAACTGAGAAATGTTAAGAAGAAAAGATAATTTGGTTGTTTGTTTAATCATATTCTTCCTTTTTTATTGTTCTTTTTTATGTTTTCCAAAGGTTTAAGCCCTTTGAAAGGACTGTTTGACCCCTCAAACTCAAAGATTGTGAGTTACTGCTCTAAAAAGACATAAGTGATAGAATGTGGTCCATCTAGTATGACAATGGCTGCCTCTGGACTGTCATTCTTTTAACACTAATCGATGTCTCAGCAGTCGCAATTTGGTGTTAGAGTTTGGAGGATCCTTTGGAAGCAACTGCTATTATTTGTTCTATATTGAAGTTCCAAAAATTAGGTTCTAACACTAGAAAAGGGATGCCTCAAAAACAGGAGGTGTGAACTTGCTGGTGAGAGTAAGCACAAGAGAAAACAAAAGCTTTCTTCTTCGGTGTTCTTTCAAATGATCTTCCAACAGAGGTGTAGAGCAGATTTATTGTGGGTCTTTTCACCTCAAATTATTCAATCATGAAAATCTCTCCCAAGGGTGTTGCTTGGGTTTTAGTTGATTGCAAATGTAGTCAAGTTGTCATCCAAGATTATCTATCACTTTCCTCAAAGAAAAAAACTTGACATATAACTGGAATATACTTTGAAAAGGTAACATTTTTCCATAAAGTTTAGCCCATAGCATTAATGATTGTTTCAAAATATCTCAATTGCCTTTTGTTATTAGCCTCTCTTAAATATCAGAATTTTGTCTCTGGTTTTATTTTTATTTGTAATTGGCTGGAATGCTTTTTTTCGTTTCTATGTGTTCAGTGTAACAGTTAAGTAGATATGTGCTTTGAAAGGCATTAGTTTCAGATTTTGCCTTAACAGGCAATCTGAAAAGCTTTTTCTTTGCTTGGTAAATTCATTAGCATTTGTGTATTTTATAAAACTAATACACTTGGTAATTTGGAATTATCTCTGTCTTATTACATGAACACACATAAGCAGCACTTATTTAATGACATTGGTGAGACTTTCCTTATTCTACATATTAGGAGTCCATAATCTGACACATTATTTTCAAACGTTTATTTGCCCAGGCAGGGGCTTGTCTTCATTTTTCAGCCATATACTTGGAAGAGTGTATGTCTGTCACTTTATGGAAGTCCAAACAATCTACTTCTGAACTCATGAAAAGAGGTTAGTTATATTCTAAGAAGTTTCTTTTTAATCCATGTTCTTGAACACGGATGTGTTTAGGTTGTATATTTTGGTAATTATATGTGTATTTGTGTATGTGTGTATAGTGATCAATCTCTTTTAGATTTGTTTTTATTTTTCAAAACGAGAATGCTGAGAGTTTGTGTGTAGAAAATGTGCACAGGAGTTCATATGCCGGTGGTGCCCAGGAAAGGCCATCAGTTCCCCTGGATCTGAACTTACAGGAAATTGTGAGCCACCAGGTCGGCACTGGAAACTGAACTCAGGTCCCCTGCAGTGGCAAAGTGCACTTTTACCCCTGATATATCCCTCCCGCCCTACTTAGACATACTGTCTCTCAGTGTGCTTTTCCAGGTAGCCCAAAGGCCTTGGAATGCATTTTGATTTAGAGAAAGTCCAGGACACAAGAGAGGGTTGGTGGGGGCTTCTCTATAAAACAGCCTGTGCATGGCGGTTGCTATAGAAGCCTGACGTCATTAAGGCTACCAGGATGGCTTTTTTATGGAGCACTAGGTGATCTGGCAAGAAGAGCAGAGGTTCCCTGCCCACAGCTCCTAATTATTTGGACCGAGTTGTGTAGGAGGAAACAATGTTCCGCCATTAACCACTTAATAGAGCATGAGTGCCCTATGGTGGGGACTGACCTCCAGGGAGCTGGGAAGACAAAAAAGTACCTCAGACCCAAGTCAGTTTGGTGCTGCTTCATCTCCTGAGGGAGAGATGGATGCCTTCTGGATACACAAGAGTATACTGTTCTGGCTCAGGTGCCCAGGTGCCACTTGTCTGGGAAAAGGTGGGGTGTTGGTGGCAAATAAAATAGGCAGCAATGCCTGCTCTCACCCAACTCCCAGTTCTGTCAAATGGGGGTGAGAATGGTTCATCCACACAAACTCTGGACCTTTCGGTGATAATAACCGCTGAAACCATCATCACTGACACACTAGAATGTCTCAGATGGATGTAAAAAGACACATCTGGTTTGACGGTCTTGCTAAGAATCTGATTTTAACAGAGACTTTTCTCTGGGCATGAGGCTGCTGCCTGTTACATATGCACTTAAAAAAAACTGGATGATTGTAATCTTCTAACATAATCTCTTTATTGATTCTTTGGCAATTTCACATCATGCACCCAATTCAGCTCATTCCCAATTCCCCCACCTGCCCTTCACCCCCAAAGAAAATACAAGTTAAAACCAAAGCAAAACAAACAAAACCCCAAAACAAACAAATGGAAAACCTCTTTGCTCTGCCATCTTTCCTGCCTCTCCAACACCTCTTCATTTCATCTTAGTGGCATTGAAGTCCTCTGTGAGCCACACAGTATACCCTTGTGTCCAGTCAGCTTTACTTGCAATGAGTTCCCTGCAATGAGTCATTGATTTTCTTCATGGCCTCTGGTTTCTGCTACACCATCTTCACTAACCCTGGCCAAAAGTCCTCGTGGATATCTAGCAGCCACCCCAAGTAACAGAGATCCCACAGGTATCATTCCATAGAACCAGTCTCCTCACAGGTTCCATCAGGTTATATAGATGGGGTAGATGTTAGCATGGGCCAACCCAGGGCCCTGAACATGTCCTTGGGTGGTAGCTGAACTTGTCAGTCCCGGCCCCTAGGGCTACCCCCTTCAGATTAGGGGTGGAGCCAACTCTCCTATGCCCATGCTGTCAGGACCAGTTCTCACATTCACACCATGAAGGGTGGGGCCAGCACCTTTTCTGCCGTGTCCAGCGAAGGGCAAGGCCAGCTCAGCCTGGCCTTCAGATTTCATCATGTATGGCTCTTATGGCCCCCTGTGGTAACATGAGCCACAGACCCCACCTGCCGCAGGCCTAGAGACCCAGACATGGTCCTAGGCTTCAGCTGTGACCTGGACGACACCATGGCTCCAGGTGGCAGCACAGACCACTCTGATCAGAACCTCTCTGGCAGAGGCAAGGCCCTCAGACACCAATAAGGCCACAGGATGAGGCCCAGACTCAGGCTCCCATGTGGCCTTTGGTGGCAACATGGCCCTTGGACTTCAACACCAGCTGTAGTAGGACCATAGACCCAGCCTCGGCAGCAGCCAGTCCCGGGTGTCACCATTGTCCCAGGTGGCAGTGCTGGCCTCCTCTCCTTGCCAATGTCAGGTCTCTTCAATGAACAGAACACTAGGAATGCAGAGGGAACACGCAGACGGTTGGCAACAAGCTGACATATGCCCATGTTTCCAGTATGTATGATGTGTCAGTGCCACTGGGGGGTGTGTGCGTGTGTGTGTGTGTGTGTGCATGCGTGTGTATGTGTGTGCGCACGCGCGTGTGTACACGTGTGCAGGGGTGTGTGTAGGAAGGGCTGTGAGATGAGCAAAGAAGACAAAGGGTGTCACTGCGTAGCCTCCACGGCAGTGAGTGTCCACAGTCTACCCCATCCTTATACTTAGTATAGCATAATGCATTCACTCTCTCATCTGCTTTATTCTCTTTTCCAGGTGATTTCTCTTTCTCCTTACTCTGCCTTCTGGTAGACCCTGAGAGAAAGCTCTGGGCTCTCCATCCAGAACCAGGTCCTGGAGCAGAACCAACTGTGGCATAGAGTCTTGTCAACATATTACCTGCGTCAGAGTGACAAGATCATGTGGACCACAATAGGTGAGTCACTTCCTGTCCTCTTCCCACCCCTCAGCTCTGTGCAGTCCTGATGTCCTTTAGGAAAGCATCCTTGTGGCATCAGGTGGCAGCAGAGAGCAGCACACTTTGGGATAATGGCATTAATAGACTCTCCAGATGTCTGAACCCTGCGTGGGCGCCTTTAAATCACCAGTACTCAAATGGAAGCCGTTAACCTCAGAACATTTCCCGGATTGGATCATGAATTACTGCATCCCATTTGCAGGTCGTGCTTATTAAAGCGGCAGACATCAGAGCCCGTGATAGACCGCTGAATCAAACCCGGGAAGCAGGGTGGGGCACATCCACTTCTTTCTGATGGGTGTTCCTGTTTAAAAAGTATTGCTTTGGGGTTTGCAGTTCTGTCTTCTAGGATACTGTGTCACAGATGGTCTCTTGCTGTTCATTGAAATACCAGTGTCTTATGTGGTGTGTCAAATATGCATCAGCTGCACTGGGAAGACAAGCAGGGGTCCTGGAGTATTGTATTAGATGGGGAAACTGTCAGGAAGCAGAGGAAATCAGTAATTGGTGCAATTTAAAGAACACAGAGGAGATAAAAAATGCTTGTAAGTGGATTGTGTTCTGTTTTGTCCCAACAGTTTGGTTTCAGGAAATAGCATTTGACTTGTGTCCTGAATGAGAAGCAGAAGCAAGGCGTGTGCAAGCCATGTTGTTGGTGTGCCCAACCATCTGGAGTACAGGGGATCTAAGAGCAGACGACAAGGCCTGTGGCCAGAGCCTTGGAGTCAATGTGGAAACTGCTTGGGAATTAGATCGAAAGGTGATTGTATAACTTTTTAAAAATCCATGTATGACTTTTGGGTTACATTGTAAGTGTGGAAGATTGCTTATGGGATTGACATGATTTGATTTTTTTTTGGTGGAAGTTGTCTTTTGACTTTGAATGGATGGAGGAGGACAGGATGAGGGAGTATGCAGGCAGCCATTGAAGGATGTAGTCCAGGGGAGGGATGAAGTGGACCATGCTGCAATGGTGTACAGAGGGGGTGCACACCCTGTGCGGCTGTGTCTGGGAGAGAGCAGATAGTGCCTGTATCTGTTGTGCTTTGGCTCGTGTTGAAGTTCAGTCTAACACCTCTGGTTTTGTCTGACACATAAAGACACAGCGGTTCTGTCTACTGATATCAGTTGTTCTGTGTGTTTTTGACATATTCTCAGGATACTTCGAATACCCAATGTAGTTACTGTAAAATTTAGCAGTTTAATATCATATGTCAGTTAGTGAATAATTTTCAGATGTACACTTTTCTAAGTACAACTGTAGCAGAATTTCAAAAAGAATGAGATTCTTTACATTTGTCTAATATTCTTCTACAGCGTGTACTTCAAGTGTCAGTTTTACTAATGAAGTAAATGAATAGGTTTTAGGAAAAGAAAACTGAAATCTGTATCTAGGTGCTGCAGATATTGCTGGTCGCTATTCTTTCTCCAGAAGAAGACTACCTTTAAATATGCATGTATTGCCAGGTAGCAGTAGTACATGCCTTTGACCCCAGCACTTGGGGGGAAGAGGCAGGTGGATCTCTTCATTTGAAGTCAGCCTGGTGTCAAGAGTAAGTTCCAGTACAGCCAGGACTACACAGAGAAACTCTGTAAAAATCCCTCCTTACCAAAATTGCATATTTCAACATTAGTCTGAAACACACTGGGGAACCTTCCTCTAACTGGGATTTAAAGCAGGTCTTATCACTGAAGGCCCCAAAATATGTATGTGATCATTGTGACACTCACTTTTCACAGAGTGAGAAGCTAGGCTCAGAGAAGAGAGAATTCCTCTTTCTCCTCCTTCCAGAAATGCCCTGCCTGTGCTTGGAAAATGGGTCCAGTAGATGCTGGCTCAGGGAACCAAACTTGCTGGAGCCAGGAGGGTCGCCATGTCTCTCCCTCTAGAGTAGTGGTTGTCAACCTGTGTGTTGCAACCCCTTACACACACCTCTGTCTCCAAGGCTATATACATTATGATTCATAACGGTAGCACAATTACAAATATGAAGTAGCAATGGAAATGATTTTATGGTTGGGGCTCACCAAAACCTGAGGAATGGTATTAAAGGGTCCAGCATTTGGAAAGTTGAGATCACTTGTTTACAGACATCACAGCAGAGAATCCTGGATCTCATATAGGTCTAGGATCCCTTTATCTTTTTCTCTATATGCTTGGGGGGGAGGGGCAGGCTCACATCAGTGCACCATACTCACAGCTTAGTGCAAAAGGAACCCTGCCTGCTCTTCTCTCCCCATCATTTGGATGCCCACACATTATACTGTACTTTCAAATCTGTTCTTTGTATCATCATCATTCAGCTTAAGGATGTGACTGATCATTTTGATCAATTGTTTTCCTGTTTTGTGGTTCTTCTGCAGAGTCTGGGTCATTGGCTCTTCACACACAACCACAGCCGTACAATAGCAGCAGCATCCAGTCCCTTGTTACCTTTGAGGAAGCTGGGTGTCTAAGGTAGGTTTGCTGGCATGAGACTGGCTTTCAGGAGCATGATGGCCTTGCCAGAGCCTGGACTCCAGGATGCTGAAGCTCTTAGATCCACACTGCTTTGACTACCCCTGTCAAAAGTTTTACACACATATGATGGCAGCACACTTGGATGTCTCTAGACATTGCTATTCCTTTCATAACTGTGGAAGGACATTCCCAGTCATATTGTTGATCTCTCTGCTAATTTATAAATGGGTACACTGCTAGCTTGAAAAGACATCAATGGTTGATTTTAAAAACCACAGTTAGGGGGCCGGCGATGTAGCTCAGGTGGTAGAGTGATTGCCTAGCCTCAAAGAGCATGGAGTTCTTGGATAATGAGGACATGTCAGCCCTCATCTGTAATACCAGAAGTAGAGGCAGGAGGAAAGAAACATCATAGTCATTATTGTGTATGCGAGTGTGGCTCCCAGCACACATGTCAGGTAACTCACAATTGCCTATACTGCCAGCTCCAGCAGGGTTCAATGCCTCTGCCAATCATGTGCATATACTGACAAACAGAAAGACAAAAAAGAATAATTATCACGTGGTCATCATTGAACTAAGGAGAAAACACAGTAGAATTTAAAATATATGAACATTAAAATGGTTAACATCCTTTAACAGTCTACAGTCTTGTTGGAGAGATGGTTCAGTGATTAAGAGTACATGCAGTTCTCCACAAGGACCTAAGTTCTGTTCTCAGCATCTATGACCAACATCCATGATGCCCTGTAACTCAGTTCCCAGCAATCCAATATCCTCTGTAGGCACCTGCATTCATGTGCATATACACACAGGAATATACATAATTTTTAAAAGTATCTACATTCTTTTCATTAAAAATTATTTAAAAATTAAAGTAATTCTACTGCAATAGAAATATCAAGCACTAATAAAAACAGTTTCATTAGTGTTGTGTGGCACGTGCTGGTATTTGCAGCTACTTTAAACACTGTTCCAAGAAGCTGCAGAATAGCATGGATAATATAGAGAGGCTGTCTCAAAATGAAAACAAAACAAATCCTGAAACATCTCAGAAATTATTCAATTTCTTAGAGTAGCAATCTTAGAGTACATATTTTTTTCAAGAGACGTGGGTCATTTTAAAACACATTTTTGCAAGGAAACCAATTAGAAAATTACCGAGTGCCTGGGAAGTCAAGAAAAAAGTTATTGGGCCAAGAAGAAAACAGAGTGGAATTAAGAACTAAGAATGTGTTTACATTAAAAAGAATTCTTGTGCTGGGGGTGGCGGAGCAAGCTTTGAAGTCCTGTACTCTGAAGGCCCAGAAAGGAGTCCCAGGGTGATCTTGCCTACACCAGGAGTCACTTCATTAAACCCAAAAAGTAGAAAGCAGGACTATTACCATTCCCTTCACTTGTGGGAGAAGTTTCAGGAAGCTCTGTGAATGAGAACCCATCCTCTCTTCATCCGATGCCAGACACAACCATATGCACCACACCAACCACACTCTTTTAGTCACAGACACATTAAAGATTAGTATTTCCTAAATGAGAAAGCAGCTCCTTTACTGCAACATAAAGCAAGATGTACAGACAATGATTGCTGTGACTCTACTCCAATAGCTCGCTGTCAGGGACATTTCACTGAAGACAGCCATTTGAGTTGTGGGTAGGACTCAGCCCAGTGACGGACACAGATTCACTTATGGTAATGAATGTGCTTTTGTGTGTTGTTTGAAATTTTGTATCTAGAAAGGAAAAGTACTTTTAGTGTAAACTGTGAAAATACTGGTGCTCTGGTTGGTAAAAATAGGGCTGGGAGATAGCTAATCCATAAAGTGCTTATAGGCATGAAGACCTAAGATCCACCCCCAGAATGCATAATTTCAAAAATGAAGCAAAACTGAAGCAGAGAAAAATATCAGGTGTGCTAGCACATGCTTGCCTGTGATGGTGGAGCCAAGCAGATCCCAGCCTTCCCTGTGTGTTCCAGGCCAGTGAGAACCGTTGTCGAAGGAAAACTTAAAGGGGGATGGCACCTGATGCAGAACACTGGAGGTTGTCCTCAGTACAATGCCATATGCATGTAAGCCTGCATATTCACATGTACACACACACACACACACACACACTATTTGATAAAGGATGTATATACCTTTGATACTTCGGGAATTCAATTTCGTGGAACAAATGAACTAGATGGATAAGTGGAATTGACCTTGATTCTGTGTGCATACATGTGTGTGTTCATGTTTACACACATAACTCCACCATCTCTACCTAATGGTGCAGCTTTATATTAACCTTAGACCAGGATTGGTTTCCAGTCTCAGGTTTACATTATATATACCTAAGATGTGAATTTTTATATGCCAGGAGAACATGCAGAGGTTAAAAATAAAGCTCCCCAAGCTCCAGAAGTAAGGAAGGTCCTATTAAGTCCAGTTCACTGCCTATGTTCCCTACAACCCAACCATAAATTCCACGTGGACACTGCCAAATGCAGTTCTCATTATGGCCAGGAGATGGCAGCCAAACTATATTCCTACATACATTTTCATGAAAAGGGCTGATGTTTTACAGAGTAGCAATGTATTGTGAAGTTTGTTTGGAAGCTTCACAGATATACTAAAGCAGTTCCATTTATGGATAGCCCCAAATCTAGAACTCAACAATTCACTTCATCCTCTCTTAGGAGAATGTAAAGTGAGGAGTACACACTGGATATAGAGGAACACTTTGTAGAGAATATGGTGTTCACACTTGGACTACCTGACACTCAGATGGGTTTCCCAGACCATCCATCCCCTCTCCAGGAGACTATGGTACAATCACCCAGGTCCAACCCCCACCATCAGACAACTGCACTATTGGCCAATCACTGGCAGGCAAATTAGAATCATTTTGTACAAGATGGTTCAGGATCTGTGTTGTGTGTGTGTGTGTGTGTGTGTGTGTGTGTGTTGTGCATGTGCACATTTACATGCATTTAGAGGTCACAAGAGGACGTTGGGTGGCCTGTCCCACTGCTTTCTGTCTTATTTCCTACAGATAGGGTCACTCACTAAACTTGGAACTAGACTGAGCAAGTCCGACCCAGCAATCCATCTCCCACAGCAGTGGAGTCACAGATGTGTGTGTCACTATAGTCAACATTTTTGCTTTTGAAAGTCTTCGTGGAAAGGATAGACGTGGAGTACAGGAATACTGTGGGGCATTGTAAGGTAAGGAAGTACAGACTATCACTATCAGGAGCAAAGTGTTGTGTGTGAGAGAAACAGCAATCTTTTATTTTTGTGCTTTGAAATTTCTAGAGAAGCAGATAGAGACATACAGGGAAGACGTGTCTACATCAGTTATGATTTTTGTATTCCAATTATCACCATCATTTTCTCAGGAAAGTATAGTATATTCATTCAGGCAGTAGCTCATTATGTGGCCCAGGTTGGTTTGGAACTCATGGTATAGTCCCAGCCGCGTTGAATTTGTAATCCAGTTTAGCTTACCATTTGTTTATTTGCATTTCAAGAATGTTAAGTCCTACCTCACAGAACACAAGCTCCAGAAGAATACACACATTATCCTGACCCAACTCCTGCTTGTAGACCACCTTAAGATTTGGTAGTCCATCTTTTCCATGACGGTAGGATTCAACGTCCTTTCTTTATAACAGCAAAGGAACATTTTGGACATTTCCCCCTTCACAAGCCCTGCCTCTCTCTCCCAAGTACTGGAGTTGTGGGTGTGTGCCATCACACCTAGTTTGAAGTCACATTTGTAAGCAATTGCTTATTTAATTCAGTATGGGAATCAAACATATAAATTTGTTATTTAACAATTACATTTGACAAGTTTAATGTATGTGTATGTATTATATATATATATATTAATTTATGTGAACTACCCATTTTTACCATCAACTATCTCTGCATTAGTAACTAGTATTTTTCCTAGTCAAGATATTAAGTAGGCATGTTAAAAAGTTAATATTGAGGGCAGAGCTATGGCAAGCCTGGAAAGGCACTTACGTCTAAAGCTGATGGCCCCAGTTTGATTCCTAGAACCCCAAATGGTGGAAGAAGAGAACTGAATCCTGCAAGTTATCCTCTGATGTCCACACATGTGCTTTAGGATGTGTGCACTCTGTGCAAATAAATAAATAAATAAATAAATAAATAAATAGATGCGATGAGATTTTAGAAAGTGAGTATCTGACTAGGAATGAAAGTAGTAGAGCTCTCTCTACTACTTAATAGGCATTTGGAAGATCTTGGTTTGGATTTCCACAATGACACAAAAAGAAGTTAAGTTAAAAGAACACCCTAAAAAGGAATAATGCACTATATACTACCTAAAAGAAGCAGCAGATAAAATAGATTTCTTGTGGCTGGGAGAAGAATCTCAGTGTCAGAGCATAGGTCAGCATGTACTAGACCCTAGTTCAATCCCCAGAACTAAAAATAGTACAATAAAATACGAAGCCTAGTAAAAGACCTCCTGAAATTTTGTATAGTAATTATGAATTTATAAACACTAGGACAGAGCTGAGCCAAAAAAAACTATATACATAGATCATATTAAAATGGAAACAGGGGTCCTGGTATAATGGTGGCCGACACTGCGTCTGATGACCTGAGTTGGATCCTCAGGACCCACATCGTGGAAACAGAGAAATGACTCCTGCAAGTTGTTCTCTGACCTCTACATGTGCACTGTGGACCATGTGTGCCTCTGCCAGACACACAAAATAAGCAGACAAATAAATAAACATATAACATGTAAATGGATATAACTTACCAGGAAAAAAAGATATTCTTGTTGCTTATTGAAATAGAATGTAAAACTATTACTTTTCAAGATATATACCTGAAAGAAAGGCATTCAAATGTTAGCTTAAACGCTTAAAAATAAGTAAATACATACCATCCAGGTACAGATAATTAGAAATCAGGAGTTATAATCTTAATGTTTAAGAGATAACTAAAACCAAAAATCAGTAAAATATTTTGAAATATACAATGATGTTAAGACTAAAATTCCCAGATGCTCATATCAGCTTTACTAACAAAAGCAGAAATTTCCATCAACAGGTGAACAGATAAAGGCGATAATCCCAGTTTGGTAAACTGAAGCTGGGGGTTCCACTAGTGAGATCCTGCCTGAATGAGGAGGAGATAAAGTGAACAGAGCTGCAGTATAGCTCAGTGCTAGAATGTCTGCCAAAAAGTGATTCAGTCCTCAATAGTACTGCAAAGCAAGTAAATTAGAATCGTTCATCCATGCAGCAACATGGTAAAGTGAAACATAAAAACTAGATCAGATAATACAAATCAAAAAGCAAAATCCAGCCTAACAAAAACACTTCTAATTATACTTTAGTTTTTCATGTATTTTTTGATAGTATTTCTGGAAAATGAACTGTGTGATAATGGAAATATTATGCTTGCCTTGGGACAGGATCTTAGGAGAGGTAGTAAAACTAGCTACACAACCAAAACTGTTATGCCCTGTGAAGTAATGCTAATGTATTGAGGTCCATCTCTTTACTTTAGAGAATGTTAACTGTGTATAATGTTAATAAAGCAAATTATAGGACATTATTATTATAGGGGCAAAGGGCCAGCCAAAGAAACACACCCAGACCAGAGCCAAAGAAACACACTCTGACGCTGAAACCAGTGCCAAAAAACACACTTTGACCCTAGAATCAGGGCCAGTTAAATTGTATGAAAAAGGGGCCACCCAAAGAAACACACTTTGGTCCTGCAACCAGAGTCAAAGAAACACAGTCTGGCCCTAGAATCAGAGACTGTGAAAGAAATACACCCTGGCCTAAAATTAGAGCCAAAAGGTTAAAAAGGACCAGTGAAAGAAACACACTTTGGCCCTGAAACCAGAGCCAAATCTGACCCTGAACCTGAATAGAAAACCAACAAATCCCTGAGCAGGAGATCTAGCCAATCTGAACTCAGAGATTGAAATCTGACCAACCCCCACTCTGGAAATCTCCTTCCTGGAATACCTCTGGCCCTAAGAAGCCCTATATAAACCCTGTGCATGATCAGCTTGTGGCTGTCCAGCTGCCCTCTACCACCCTGGCAGAGGCAGCCACTCCTCTGGATTTTTCCCTCCCAATAAATCTCCTTGACTGCAGAGGAGAGCAGAGAAGTAGCAACTTTTACCAGAGCCAGAGCAGAGAGGAGCAGAGCATGGCTCGAACACTTTTGCCAAGGGAACCTTCCCCTAGAGAAGCTGAGTTGTTACACTACACTCGGGGGATGGGGCAGAACTGTAACCACTTTGCTGGAGAAGCCTGCCCCTGCTGGAGCAGAGCTGTTAAATTGGGGAAACCTTCCCTGGAGCAGGGCTGGAAGCTGCTATGCTTACTGTGACCCGTAGTATTCTTTGGCTCCCGATTGTCAGAATCCCTGTCCATCCAATCTGTCACAATGCTTACAGAAATATGTGCTGTCCCTGAAATTGGATCCAAGAGGCTAAAAAGGGTCAGTTAAAGAAACACTTTGGCTCTGAAAACAGAGCCAAATCTGCCCCTGACCAACTAAGCAGAAAACCAACCAATCCCTGAGCAGATCTAGTCAATCTGAGCTCAAGGGACTGAAATCTGACCAATCCCCACCCCGGAAATCTTCTCCTTTGGAAAAATCTCTGCCCCTAAGAAGCCCTATATAATAAACCCCAAGCCTTTTCAATTTGCTGCTGTCTTCTTCCACCATGGCAGAAACAGCCACTCTCCTGATTCTGCCCTCCCAGGAAATTTCTTGAATGAGGTTTGGGTGACACCTTCCTTTGCCAGAATGGAGTACAGGAGAGAAGTAACAACTTTTTGCAGGAGCCAGAGCAGAGCAGAACAGTAACAGGAAGCCTTCCTGTAGTGGGGCAGCATTGTCACACTCCGGGGGACTGGACCTGAGCAGAACTATAACAACTTCTCTGGGGAAACCCTTTCCTGGCCAGCAGAGCTGTTACATTGGGGAAGGCTTTCCCTGTGGCGGGGCTGGGAGCTGCTGTGCTTATAGTGATTGTGTGGTAGTCCTTGTCTCCCGATTGCCAGAATCCCTTTTCATCTGAGCAGCAATGCTTGCAACTACTATTTTAAGCAAGAGTTAACAGAAGATACCAGTGATCCTGTGGTGGTTTCTTGTACCCTGCTGCATTTTACCAAGGGAGAAGCCTTACCCTGTCTTAGTTTTCCTCAAATGCTATTCAACATGGAAAGAGTCCAGGACAGCACACTCCCTAAAGGACAGGATTCTACATATCTGTTGCTCTGAATTCCAAAGCTGTAAGAAATCCACTTAGATCAATGATCCCTGCCTCTCTTCACCTGGCAATGATGTCCACCTCAGAGCATCTACAAGAGAAGGCTGGAGGACAAAAGCTGCCCAATGTCGTCAAAAAAGGTGTCAGGTTTCTATGGCAACTGGGATGCACTTTGTCAAACCGGAAATGCCTGCGTGCCCACTCATGTCTTTTTCTGTTTCTGAGAACAAAGCACATTTCACCCTTGAAGCAACCTGAGAAAATGTTCCTTAGAGAAAGTGGATTAGGATGCAGGCCATTCATTGACAGAATTAAAAAAATAAGTTCTTAGCCCCAGAATGTGCTCAGAAAACTAGATTACTTAGACTATTTAAAAGACGTTTTGGTTGTCATAATAACATCATGTTTCTAGGCAATAGCGATGCTAGGATTATTAATCTTAAAACGGCTACACATGACCCTCTTTTCCATGCCCTTACCTGTCCTTGAAAGTAAAACTCCTTAAGGTAACCAAAGAAATCATAGGTTTAACCTGACAAAGTGTGCCAGACTGCATTCTGTTAGCAAAACTCTGTGCAAGTTTTGGAAGGAAAACATGGTCGCTGCAATGAAATCTTGTTTTCAGTACATGCCACACATCTAACTAAAAAGTTATGGGTTGCCTTGATGATGTCAGGTTACTGTGGCAACAGCAACCTACAGCCTTATCCTCCACTCTGGCACTGCTTGCATGCAACCTTCCTGTCTTTCCCTTACCTTTCTCTGAAAGCAAAAAGCTTGTTCTTTTGCAGACTACCATCCTAAAAGGGGATGCAGATAATTGGCAAAATTCTGCTCAATTCTGGAAAGCATGTGCATGCCTGTTTGCAGAAATTTTGTTTGCTATAATTGTGATAATATAGATGTTCACCAATGGGGGAGTCACTGAATAATGCAAGGTATGTCTGCATCCTATATTATAATGCAGGTATAAATAAATCAGGGTTCCCCTTCTCTACTGTATAAGTTTCCTTCAGTGTATATTACTAAGTGAAGAAATTAAGATATGGAAAAATGTCTAGAGCAGCTGCTATGTAACACTGTGGCACTAACTAGCTAAACAAAGCCACTAAAATTTAAGATTGAATTCATATGAAATTAAAATTTTATTTTCCTATCACATGCATCATATTTCATGTGTTTATATATTCAGTGTCCAAAATTTAAAGAAACTTAAGTGTAAAACCAAACAAATAAGATTTATGGTCAGCTTCACAGGGTCCTAGAGTAACAAGTGTTTTTGGAAAGGGGAACGATTACAAAGGAATTAAGTATTTACCTGAACCTTCTTTGCATACCAGTGTTTACCAAAGTTGATGAGAAGTTTCTGTAATAGAAAAATCCTAAATAATAAATACATAAATGCTTATAAAATTACAATATTACCCCTTTATAAATGAAGATCTACCCAACGTTCTTTGAATGCAAAAACTTCTTTAGTGTGTAATAAAGATGAGAAATTTTGTGGTGACTTGATCAGTTAACAACACTTGAACCAGGTGATCAGCTTTAAGGTCACCAGAAGAAAGACAACTAGTAATGTGGCTGCAGGAATAAGCATCACCACATTTGACCTATTTTTTCCGCCAAACTTTGAGTTTAGTGTAAACTCTAAATTCAATATGAATTTAAAAGGTATAGAATTGACCCAAATAATACATGGTATAATAAGGGTGAAATCAGCAAACTCCATAGGACAAAAGACAAACTCTTGTGGAGTCTGCAAAATTAAAGACCTTTAATAAAACATTATTTTGTGTATGTCTTTGAGGATGTCTCAGAGTGAGATTAAACTTGAAATTGTGAACTGAGCAAAATAGCTTGCCTTTTCAGATTCACCTCACCTAAACAACTGATGGCCTGACTAAATTTAACAGGCTAAATTGACTGCTTCAACTGAGCTATCTACTTTTACTGGTTTCAGGACTCAATGAAAAAAGTGATATTTCAAGTGGAAATTCTAGCATTGGCTCTCCCAGTTCTTTGCCCTTGGGATTAAACTGTAACCATTCTATAGGTTATCTTTTATTTATAGCATGACTGCCTAATGATTGTGTAAGTCATTGTATCTATATGGTATTACATCTATATGGTCCTCTTTGGATATGTTTCTCTTGAGAACATGGACTCATACAGAGGGGAGAGAGCACACATACTTATACTTAAATGATACATAACACTTTAGAGATTTACCTATTAAAACTAATGGCGCCGGGCGTTGGTGGCGCACGCCTTTAATCCCAGCACTTGGGAGGCAGAGGCAGGCGGATCTCTGTGAGTTCGAGGCCAGCCTGGTCTACAAGAGCTAGTTCCAGGACAGCCTCCAAAGCCACAGAGAAACCCTGTCTCGAAAAACCAAAAAAAAAAAAAAAAACTAATGGCAGCTGAGCACAATGGTACATGTCTTTAATTCCAGCACTTTGGAGGTTGACCCAGGATGATTAGAAATTCAAGGTCATCCTCAAACTCTCAAACAAAACAAAGGCTGGAGTTGTAGCTCAGTTGGTAGAGTACTTGCCTTGCATCTGTGAAACCCTGGATTCAATCTTCACCACTACATAAAACCAGACTGTCTGCTGTATGCCTGTAATACTAGCACTTAGGCTGTGGCAGCAGAAGAATCTGGAATTCAATACTATCCTCAACTAACTAGCAAATTCAAGATCAGCCTGGGGTACATAAGCCACACTGCCCCCATCTCTAAAAACATGAGATACTAAAACATCTACACATTAAATAGATGGACTAGATGAATGGTACCAAGTGTGTGCAAGCTTGTGGAATATATGCAATTCTTGCCTGGAAATACAGACTGGAACAATAGTTCTTAATTCCTGCTTGGTAGTATCTACTGGTACAAGTATACATAAATTGTTTGAGTCAGAAATGCCATTTAAGAAGCAAAACTATCCAGCCCACCCTTCCATGATCTCTCATTCCCTTGAAAGCATAAAATATTCAGGTCTCCCCAGAAAGCATACTCACTAGAAGAGTGGTGCAGACAGGACACAGGATGCAGACAATTGACAGAATTGTCCAACGTTAGTGACCACAGAATTTCCCATTCTTAGGGAGATTGCTGTCTTTAAATGTGATTTTAGAGGAGCAATATCAGTACACAGAGACCCAAGGATATCTCCTAGTGATCTTTTAGGTGAGCTAGCCCTCTAAGGAAAGGAAGACACACAGTTTTCCATCTGTTGCAAAAGAACTAAGAGACTGTCCACAGTCACAAAATTGATTGTGCAGCAGAGATTCGCTGTTGTTTCAGAGAGGCAGACCTGGGATAATAGAGAGAAGCACAATCATTTGAAAAGTGCTTTGGTTGATCCCAACAAATTCTTACTTTCCATTCCAGAAGTTCTCTTCCATGGGAAGGTGCATTTGCCACCAATACACATTCAGTGTCACTATACATTCATCTCTTCACCATGAAAATAACAACTTGCATTGCTGGAGAGTATAAAAAGAGAAACTGCCCAGGTCCCCTCCTTTCACCCATAGAGGTACTAAGGTGAGATTTTCACTTTAATAAGCAATTAAGTAAATGTTTGAAAAATCTACCCCCCACCATATACACTAACACACTAGGTATAGTCAAAATTATAGCAATGCCATAACCACCCTTCCGGAAGTAAAGAACTACATAATATCCTATAGTAACAGATTATAGTAAAAAATGGATGGAAACCGCATTTCTAATATCCACTTGTGGTCAACAAAGCAATACTTACTGAATATCACCCAGGATTCTTCTGTACATTGATCAGGAACAGTTGGGTGTTGTGTGCTCCATGTGGCATCTGTCAGTAGGGGATTCCAATCATCTTAAGTATCCAGAGACTGCCTCTCATAGGTGAGCATTTGTGTGACACTATTCCTAGGGAGACATGAACAAATGTTTACTTACCCAGATAGGGAACCAATGATAGACCAAAGTAAAAACATCACCGAAGTCCAACTTGATGAAACAATGAGTTTGTTATAGTTACTTTCAGGAGTGTGGGTGAGGGGTTACTTACAGATGGAAGAACCACTCAGGGGCAGCTGTGTCCCTGAAAGTCCATGCCAGCATGGACAATGACAACAAAATCTGAAAACCTGAAGCTCAGTGAACAACTTGCTTATATAACCTTGGTGAGGGAAGTGCCTTGTGCATCTGGTCAGTTTTAAAGACTAACAGACTGCTGAATTGTTTACTTTTGAGTCTCAAGGAGCCTGGCTTTAGAATTTCCTGAGTCTTAACAAGCCCCGTTTAGAAATTCCTGGGTCTTAATGAGCTGTGAAGGAATTGCTATACAACGCCATCAGGGCTGGCGTCTACAGGGAGTGCAACAGGCACCACTATTCTTCAGAGCATCCCATTTCTACTCCAAATAGCCTGTTGTGCTTATGGTTGCCATATTGAACTCAACTCAATACAATATCAGCTCTACAAAACAATTCTTTTTATTGGTTGTGGTGTGTTGTATTATTTTGCTTAGCTGACATTTGGATTCTACTGGATATGAAGTATTCATGTGTTACATCTTACCATTCTAGGACTCTCAAGAAAAAAAAACTGAGGGAAGTGTTGCAATGGCAGGTTCATGGAAAACTAGTAGATGAGATTAACAATACAGACAAAATATTGTCATCGTTAATGGGAACAGCTGGTTTCATGGGTTAACTGATAGAATCAAGGTAATCCGTTGTTGCTGGGGATGTCGGTGAAGATTTTCCTGGAAAAGATCAGTGTTTGACTCAGTAGACAGTTGAATAAAGGAGATCTGTCTTCAGCAGTGTGAACAGAAACATCAAGCCAATTGAAGGGCCCAGACAGAAGAAAAGCATGGAAAAACTGTGTCCTGGCACTCTCCACTGCAGCCAAAATGTTCTTATGGAATGGATGATGCTGACTGTACATGGGAAATGAAGGGAGTGTAAGTATCTGGAGAAAAGACAGGCAGTTTTATTCCAGAGAGGCTTGTGCTGGGCTCAGCTAATCCCCAGATAGGAAAACTGACCCAGGACCTCCTTTCCTATTGCATAAACAAACCCAGAGGTCCTGTATGCACAAATTCACAGCTTCTCTATCAGGCTCTTATACTACCGGTGGGAATTTTTCCACTGTAAACATAGTGGGGCCTAGTGACACATAACTCAGGGAAGTCTGCAAATTCCAGAGCTTTCTGAAATTCTTCAGACTGCTGGATTCTAAGTCCACCTGTCACTTTGCATGGGAAGAATAATGAAGTCCCCTACCATGTTTCCCCCCTGCCTTTTCTTGATTTCGTCTGCTGCTTCCTCTTGTAGAGCTGTGTGGCAAGAGGTGCTGCTCATCTTAGCAGCTGTGAGGAATGGAATCTTCTCATTGCAGGGGCCACGTGATCATGTACACTCACCAGGCAGGAGCAGTAATAGAAGGCGCATTGTGAAACAATGCCTCAAGGTCAGGGCTCATGAAGAAAAGGCTTTAGGGCAACTGGGGAAATGGTCACCTCTGCTCTGAGCAAAGTGGACGAATGAGTGAAGCGGGAGTGCCTCCTTAAACAGCATGAAAATTCATTATTTTAAAAACAATTTGTTGCATTTATTTACTGTGTGGGTATGGGAGTGGTTTCATTCCAGGGAATAAAGTATGAAGATCAGAGGACAATTTGCAGGAGTTGGTCCTTTTCTTCCACCAAGCAGGTTCCAGGCCTGAAACTCATCAAGCTTGGTGGCAAGCACCTTTGCCTGATGAGCCATCATATGGGTCCAAGAATTCAACAATCTTAATAGTATGGTTGCATGTTACAGCCCACTAGCATAAAAAAATGCATGCTTTTTGGTGACTGGCCAAATTATGCATTTTATGAACTTTTCATACATGCTAATCTATATTCTTCTAGTGTTAGAAAGTTGAATTGCTTTCATTTTCTCTATCTTATTTCCATATGTATTATACAGTTTACATTTATGCTTCAAAATATGTCTTGAGGCAATTCTAGACTTCAAACTCTAGAAGGGAAAGCTTAACAACTAAGTTGTGTTTATGCTACATCCTATTTAAATGGGAAATATGGCAGAGGAAAATGCTATACACTGCTGGAGTAGGACAAATTGCATATATTTACAATATAGAAAAACTATGTAACATTGACAAAAAGTCAAATGTGAAACTCCCACAGTTAATGCAGTCTCAATTACTGAGGAGACCGTCTCAAGCATATGTGCATGAGAAAATATGCACAAGAGTAGTCACATGACATAGCTACTCATATCAAAGCAGTCCCAGATGACCTGACTCAAGAAACCCCAGAAATACTTTCCAGAATGAAAAGTTGCTGTCTGTATATTAATCTATGGGTTCTTTGACAGCTACATACACGTCAACACTCAGTTGTTTTGCATAATTCTCTCTAACCATCCGCAGATGCTAGGATCCTAAGAGCACTGATCTCCCTGAGTGCATGAGTGGGTTCCCCCCCTTCACCTCCCTCTGCTGCCCCAACCTTGCCAATAGGCAAACTCCCTCTTGAATCTTGCAACTTATATTTTGATCACCAGATGGCGCTTGACTATTTCCAAAATGCTAGTTTTTCACCATGAAAAGGTATACATTTGTGAACAGAAACAAAAATACTCCTCAAAATCGGTAAAAAAAAAAAAACAAATTAAGCACCAACTTATTTTGATTCTCTTTGTGTATTATTTCTGGGCATTAGGAGTTTACTGTGTGCCAGGTGCCATCAGTCCAACCCCATATCTACATGTCTCACAATTCCTTTTCTCCCTCTTTTGATCTGCTTATTAAGTGGATCCCCATAGAAATGATTCAAAGCGACTGCCTTCCATGTGTGTCTGGTCCAACTTCGCCTCTGTCCTAGAACCCAAATTATAATTGAAAAGTGTGCCATCAAAATCAACCTAGGGAAAGCAAGGAAACTTTTGACCCATACTTCCCATGGTGCTAGCTGTCAAGCCCCAACCTGCTCCTCACTATATCTCACTTACAAAGAGGGGAGGGGACGATAAACCTTACGTGGTGGCAGTCTTGGAAGTTCTCCTGGGGGAGGAGTAGATTTTTTTCTGGTTCTGTTTTCCATTTGATAGTTCAGAGTGACGTGCTTCCATACTTAACTTTAAGTACAGATGATCTATAGGAAAGCAATTTGTTTCAGGGAACAATTGAGGTTTCATGTGCTGTGGACAGAGGCAGCACTGGAGCCATGAGGAACAGACTAATGCATGTGATGTCCAGCCTGTGCTGCCACCAAGGGCCAGGCCTGCTTAATGGCCCAGGCCCTGGGGTATGTGTTGATGTCTGTTGCCTATGTTACCCCCAAGGGCCCTGAGTATTTCCATGATCTGTTTTGATGTCTGTGCCCTATTACTACTAAAAGTCATGTGGATGTCTGTGGTTTGAGCTGCCACCTAAAGCCATGTTGATGTCCAAGGGTGGTGCTGACCTGGCTATACCCCTTGCCAGTACCTGGAGAGTTGCCCCCCCTCTCACCAACTGCCACACTTTGGCATTGGTATGGAGTGGGTGAGGGAGAACCTGTCGCACCCCTCACCAGCCACCACACTGTGACACTTGTGATGGCACGTTGGTGAGGGGGAGCTGGCCCCATCGCTCTCTGGGTACACCACCTCCCCACCCAGAGCTGGCCCTGCCCCTCACCGACTGCCACAAGATGCTGGAGAGTTGTTGGAACCATAAATGCTGGTAATAGCAAGATAGCAGAGATGAGTCTCGGTGAGGGTCCAGTATTGACGGTGTCTCAGGAGCCAGAGGCCTTGAACCAGACCAAGGACTCATTGCAATGAACATTTGCAAGCAAAGTTGCTTGAGAAAAAGAGTATACTGTGTGACACACTGTAGCTCCCAATGGCACTACGACGAAGGAATATGTGATGGAGAAGTGGGGAAAAAAAGGAGGGACAAAATGTACACATATGGTGGAACTGGAGATGAGACAGCTGTGACAGGTGTGAGAGAACTGTGCAGTTAATAGAGGGGCAGGTTATTGCCCAGAGGATGCCAGATGTTTTCTGTTTCGTAAATTTAATTTTTATATTTCCTTTACAGGGCGGGGGTGTTGCAAGGGTGGAAGACAGACATGGAAGGATTGGGAAATAAGTGGGACTGGGGTAGATGATGTGAAATCCCAAAGAATCAATAATAAAAAGTATGTTAAAAACCCATCATAATAGCCATGTGACCAAAAGAAGGTTAAAAAGCTCCTAGTATTGACAAGGATTCAATAATAAAAAGTATGTTAAAAACCCATCATAATAGCCATGTGACCAAAAGAAGGTTGAAAAGCTCGTAGTATTGACAAGGATATAGAGTACTGTACATGTCACATGCTGTTAGTTGGAATATAATAAAATAATTACTGGGGAAAACTGCTTCCCATTGTCTACTGAACTAAACACACATCATCTACTCAGGTCTAGGGCAGGTTTGTGCCCCAGAAAAGTCAAAGTAAATTTCCATGCAAAACTATGTACAACGTGTTCATAACACCATAATTCAAATTAGTCAAAAACTAGGCAATATCTGGAATTCTATAAAATCAGCATTTGTGATGAAACAGTCACACACTGTAATACAATATATTAACAACAGTAAACGGTCTACAAATATAGATGGATAGCAATAGATGTAAATATCACAGTAAGTTGCCAAGGGGACACACTGAAAACATATGATGAGGGCTGCAGAGACTTTCTCCTAAAATCTCCCAATAAGAATTTGTGGCTAGGTAAGAAAAGTCAACATGCCCTTCCTTTCATTTTAAAGTCACATAGTGTACTTTTACATTATAAGTTGGTTAACCTGGAGGAAATATGTAACCAGCCCAGGAGAAAGAATTGCTATTGAAAGGAACAAGGCAATTTCCTATGGACAGGTGTGTAACTGACAACAAAAAACATAGCTGGGGCACAGTGTCTGTCCTAACTCACAAATGGCTGGTAGTCTTAGTTAATTAGACCAGACAAAGAAGACTTGAGCAGTCATTCCTCCCCAGCAATTGGGTCTCTGGAGAGACAGGAAATGTGATTCCCACATGTAAAAGCCTCATGAGTTCCTAACAGTGTAAAAACATCATTTTATAAGTCCAAAGGATTAATGTAACAGTCATGGTATCCAAGGCATAACAACTATGATGATTAGTAACAACTCTGTTTTTCCTGTTGCCATCCTTTTCTTAGATAAATAAAGATAGGCTAGAAAGATGTGGGATAACTACTAAAAATATTTCACTGACTTACTGTCCAGATATAACAGGCTGTGGTAGTTTGAATGTGGTGGCACTATTAGGAGGTGTGGCTCTGTTGGAGTAGTTGTGGCTTTGTTGGAGGAAATGTGTCACTGTGGAGGTGGGCTTTGATATCTCATATGTGCTCAAGCTATACCCAGTGTCCCAGTTCACTTCCTGTTGCCTGCAATGCAAGATGTAGGACACTCAGCTACTTCTCCAGCACAATGGCTGCCTGCTTGTCCTACCGTGATGATAATGGACTAAACCTATGAACTGCAAATGATCTACCACAGTTAAGTGTTTTCAATTGTAAGACTTGCCATGGTCATGGTGTCTCTTCAACAGCAATAGAAACCCTTACTAAGACATAGGCCTACTGTCATGTTTGTTTCCTCAGCAATGGTTAGACTAAGAGTAGGGACAAAGGTATATCATGTGAAAACTGGTTTTACTTTTACTTCACACAAAACATGTGTGTTTCCCTTAACACCAAAACAGGTATGTAATACAAACTGCAGAAGAAAAAGCATTCTCAAGAATATATTAGTGTATTCACTTTTCAAATGTTAAATTATCAAATTCTTTTTAAAAATTGACTTCAACAGTGCTGGGAAAATAAAGTGTAATTTTATTACAACAGAAACTTCTTCATCAACTTACATATGTTATTAAATCACTAAGTTTCACAATAACTAGCATTGGGTTTCCAAAGCATTCAGAGACTATTTCAAAAAAACACATACAACAACTGATATCAGAATACAGCACCACCATGTGGTCATGGAGCAAGAAAAGCCCAGAAATCTTTGACCTGTCTCTTCTCCACAAGCCCAAGCACAGTTACTGCCTTACCAAGAGCAGCCATGTCCAAAGATACCCCACTCTCTAAAACTGCTGGCATATGGCTCTTGTTGGGCATAATGGCTGTTCCAGCCTACTCTTTCCTCAGTTCCTATTCAGGCCATTCTCCACACAATCACATTCCAACACGAATCAAATCCTGTCTCTCTCTGACTCTTACCTATCATAGTTATAATACAATTGAAAGACCTAAAGCATATGAGTCACGTACCCTTTCCACTACATACCAACATGGACATACTGTCTGCCAGCCACTAGGCTGGTCTTGTGCTCTTAGACCAAATGTAGTCCCTGTGGTACCAGTCAACCAACAATATGACTTGTACACAACTTGGTTTTTTTTGTTGTTGTTGATCAGGACTCAAGTCAAATACTACTTCCTGAAACTGACCTTTAGGAACAAGCCCACATACTACAATCCCCATCACAACCATTTTCTATCACCTCTGTGATCTTTAAAGCACAAATAACATATGGAATTTCTGCGATTACTGATTTCCTCTGCTTCCTGACAGTTTCCCCATCTAATACAATACTCCAGGACCCCTGCTTATCTTCCCAGTGCAGGAACTCGATGCCCACAAAAGAGGCCAGTGTGCGAATATCTTGATAAACATTAAGTGAAGGAACTGATGCATATTTGACACACCACATAAGACACTGGTATTTCAATGAACAGCAAGAGACCATCTGTGACACAGTATCCTAGAAGACAGAACTGCAAACCCCAAAGCAATACTTTTTAAACAGGAACACCCATCAGAAAGAAGTGGATGTGCCCCACCCTGCTTCCCGGGTTTGATTCAGCGGTCTATCATGGGCTCTGATGTCTGCCGCTTTAATAAGCACGACCTGCAAATGGGATGCAGTAATTCATGATCCAATCCGGGAAATGTTCTGAGGTTAACGGCTTCCATTTGAGTACTGGTGATTTAAAGGCGCCCACGCAGGGTTCAGACATCTGGAGAGTCTATTAATGCCATTATCCCAAAGTGTGCTGCTCTCTGCTGCCACCTGATGCCACAAGGATGCTTTCCTAAAGGACATCAGGACTGCACAGAGCTGAGGGGTGGGAAGAGGACAGGAAGTGACTCACCTATTGTGGTCCACATGATCTTGTCACTCTGACGCAGGTAATATGTTGACAAGACTCTATGCCACAGTTGGTTCTGCTCCAGGACCTGGTTCTGGATGGAGAGCCCAGAGCTTTCTCTCAGGGTCTACCAGAAGGCAGAGTAAGGAGAAAGAGAAATCACCTGGAAAAGAGAATAAAGCAGATGAGAGAGTGAATGCATTATGCTATACTAAGTATAAGGATGGGGTAGACTGTGGACACTCACTGCTGTGGAGGCTACGCAGTGACACCCTTTGTCTTCTTTGCTCATCTCACAGCCCTTCCTACACACACCCCTGCACACGTGTACACACGCGCGTGCGCACACACATACACACGCATGCACACACACACACACACACACACACACACCCCAGTGGCACTGACACATCATACATACTGGAAACATGGGCATATGTCAGCTTGTTGCCAACCGTCTGCGTGTTCCCTCTGCATTCCTAGTGTTCTGTTCATTGAAGAGACCTGACATTGGCAAGGAGAGGAAGCCAGCACTGCCACCTGGGACAATGGTGACACCCGGGACTGGCTGCTGCCGAGGCTGGGTCTATGGTCCTACTACAGCTGGTGTTGAAGTCCAAGGGCCATGTTGCCACCAAAGGCCACATGGGAGTCTGAGTCTGGGCCTCATCCTGTGGCCTTATTGGTGTCTGAGGGCCTTGCCTCTGCCAGAGAGGTTCTGATCAGAGTGGTCTGTGCTGCCACCTGGAGCCATGGTGTCGTCCAGGTCACAGCTGAAGCCTAGGACCATTTCTGGGTCTCTAGGCCTGCGGCAGGTGGGGTCTGTGGCTCATGTTACCACAGGGGGCCAAAAGAGCCATACACGATGAAATCTGAAGGCCAGGCTGAGCTGGCCTTGCCCTTCGCTGGACACGGCAGAAAAGGTGCTGGCCCCACCCTTCATGGTGTGAATGTGAGAACTGGTCCTGACAGCATGGGCATAGGAGAGTTGGCTCCACCCCTAATCTGAAGGGGGTAGCCCTAGGGGCCGGGACTGACAAGTTCAGCTACCACCCAAGGACATGTTCAGGGCCCTGGGTTGGCCCATGCTAACATCTACCCCATCTATATAACCTGATGGAACCTGTGAGGAGACTGGTTCTATGGAATGATACCTGTGGGATCTCTGTTACTTGGGGTGGCTGCTGGATATCCACGAGGACTTTTGGCCAGGGTTAGTGAAGATGGTGTAGCAGAAACCAGAGGCCATGAAGAAAATCAATGACTCATTGCAGGGAACTCATTGCAAGTAAAGCTGACTGGACACAAGGGTATACTGTGTGGCTCACAGAGGACTCCAATGCCACTAAGATGAAATGAAGAGGTGTTGGAGAGGCAGGAAAGATGGCAGAGCAAAGAGGTTTTCCATTTGTTTGTTTTGGGGTTTTGTTTGTTTTGCTTTGGTTTTAACTTGTATTTTCTTTGGGGGTGAAGGGCAGGTGGGGGAATTGGGAATGAGCTGAATTGGGTGCATGATGTGAAATTGCCAAAGAATCAATAAAGAGATTATGTTAGAAGATTACAATCATCCAGTTTTTTTAAGTGCATATGTAACAGGCAGCAGCCTCATGCCCAGAGAAAAGTCTCTGTTAAAATCAGATTCTTAGCAAGACCGTCAAACCAGATGTGTCTTTTTACATCCATCTGAGACATTCTAGTGTGTCAGTGATGATGGTTTCAGCGGTTATTATCACCGAAAGGTCCAGAGTTTGTGTGGATGAACCATTCTCACCCCCATTTGACAGAACTGGGAGTTGGGTGAGAGCAGGCATTGCTGCCTATTTTATTTGCCACCAACACCCCACCTTTTCCCAGACAAGTGGCACCTGGGCACCTGAGCCAGAACAGTATACTCTTGTGTATCCAGAAGGCATCCATCTCTCCCTCAGGAGATGAAGCAGCACCACACTGATTTGGGTCTGAGGTACTTTTTTGTCTTCCCAGCTCCCTGGAGGTCAGTCCCCACCATAGGGCACTCATGCTCTAATAAGTGGTTAATGGCGGAACACTGTTTCCTCCTACACAGCTCGGTCCAAATAATTAGGGGCTGTGGGCGGGGAACCTCTGCTCTTCTTGCCAGATCACCTAGTGCTCCATAAAAAAGCCATCCTTGTAGCCTTAATGACGTCAGGTTTCTATAGCAACCGCCACACACAGGCTGCTGCCACCCATCCTCCCTTGTGCCCTAGAGTATCTCTAAAAGCAAAATGCCTTCAAAGACCTTTGGTTACCTGAGAAAGCACACTGAGAAAAAGCAAGGTGAAACTCAGGAAATTAGAAGAACTTTGACCAGGCTATTTGAACAAAACATTTCCCCCAAAGCTGGCGCCTTCTCTCAGTAATAGATCACTATGGTTTCCATTTAAATGTCCTCAAGGTCACCCTAATGATGTCAAGTTTCTATGGCAACCGCTACACGCAGGATGTTCAACAGACTGGAAAAGCTTCCCCCATAGCCCTCCCTTCCTTGCCTTGGCATTTTTCTGAAATCAAAACGGCATCACCTCTTCAACCCACCTGAGAAAGCAAAATCATTAAAGTAATCAGGCAAGGAAGCAAGCAATTAGTGAAAGCCTGTCAAGATGGGTGAAATGAAGCATGTTTCCGTGGTCAGGAGTTTTGTTTTCTTTAAAAGTAACTCCCTGAATAAATACTAAATAACTAAATTAAACAAGACATCTAAAAATGAATGACGATTATGTTTTATCTTATGCATGGAATCTGGAGAGAACCTACATAAAAATAGGAGTATTGTTAAGAAAGAGAAATGGAATCTGTGGAGAAGAGGAGAAAATTAGCAGAAGATAATGTGATCAAAGTATAAAGCACTTATGAATATGTCATAATGAAGGTCATTGTTTTAATATATTCTATTTTTAAGGACCCTGTCCAAAACAAAACAAAATTTTGCCATGGAAGAGTAGTATAAGTAAAAAGAGAGTCAGGAATGTTTGTGACTCCAGGAGATTTTCTAGAACTTTCAGGTAAGCATATGATACTTTTTATTATTTAAATTAGAAACAAGCTTGCTTCACAAGTCAATCCCACCTCCATCTCCCTCCCTTCCCCTCTGCCCCCCCCACCCAATCCCCATTTTGTTCCCCAGGGAGGGTGAGGACCTCCATGTGGGATCTCCAGAGTCTCATTTTGTTCAGGGCAGGGCTTAGGCCCTCCCCCCCAAATGTCCAGGCTGAGAGAACATCCCTCATTGTGGGATGGACACCCAAAGTCCATTTGTGTGCCAGGGATGAATACTAATTTACTACCAAGGCCCCATAGATTATCTAGGCCTCGTCACTGACACCCACATTCAGGGGGTCTGGATCAGTCCCATGCTGGCCTCCCAGCCATCAATCTGGGGTCCAAGAGCTCCCCCTAGTTCCGGTCAGCTGTTTCTGTGGGTTAAATCAGCCTAGTCTTGACCCCTTTGCTCATCAGCCCTCCCTCTCTGTCACTGGATTCCAGGAGTTCAGTTCAGTGTTTAGCTGTGAGTGTCTGCCTCTGCTTCCTTCAGTCACTGGATGAAGGGTCTGTTTGCCAGACTCTCTGGCAGTGGGATTGTAGGCTGGATCAGGGGAGTGCAAGCATATGATACTTAATACACCTTACTATACAGTCACCCATCTATAACAAAAAACAAGACCGTGTCTTCAATCATGTGATTGGGTGATGTAGAAACCAACAAAAGTAATTTAATAAATCTCAGAATCATTTCAGAGAAGGAGTCTTAGACTAATATGACCAAAATTTAGTTGGCAGAAATCTGGCCAATTCTGTCATACATTGGTTTATCCTGAGAGATTTTTATCCTCCATTCCTGATGTTTTCTCCCATATAGAAGAACAGCAACTAACGAATATGCATCTAGCCCCCCCCCTCTCTACATAGTCACCCATGATCTACCTGATTTGAGATACTGGAAGTTGTACTAGTGTTTCATAACCCAAGTACTCTCCCTTTGGTCAGAGAGGCAGTAAGCTATTTCGCAGGAGTTATGTCTCTGATTTACCCCGAGTGTGTGTGTGTGTGTGTGTGTGTGTGTGTGTGTGTGTGCGCGTGCGTGTGTTGGGATGACTTTTATTAGTCTTAAAGCTGTTTTCCTGTTTCTGTGTCTGTCTACCAAAGTATTCTTATATTTTCCTTCAAAAGGCTTAACTGACCCAACAAAATCCTCTTGACATTGCAACATTACATTATCATCTACAGAGTCCATTCTCAAGAGCTGTGCAATGAAGTTCCAAAAGAAACATTGATAAAGAATGTTTTCAGTAAGTTTATCATTTGGGGTTGGGCCACATTCATAGTTTCCCTCGAATAGAACAGCTAAGAAGACAAAAGAAGAAAACTACATGGACTTTATTCTTTAGAAGGCTGATATTGAACAATGTTCCTTAAGACTTGTCAGCATGTTAGCTTCCTACTAATTAATTCCAAAATTTTCCATACACATTCACCTGCAGTGCTGAGTTGGGGCAGGCACAAGGCGAGACTGTAGTACACAGGTACCTGCTGTCTTGTAACAGAGCTCTGTACATGACTAGACAAGGAAAGTGACTTTTTTGACAAGGTCTATTCTCGTAAGCAGGAGACAGTGTTCCAAGAACCACCTCTGAGAAAAACTTGTTTGTTTAATAAATACTTATATGGTATGCATACTGTTATTTGCATTTAGTCACGAGGAAGGAAGTTTCCTTGTCCATGGAGTTTGGTTTCTCTATGTCCTGCAACCAAAGCACGTTGTGTCTTCAGCAATAAGGTTTTATTAATTATAATTGGCAACCAAGAAAAATGACAATAGTCTGTGTTGTTTGGGGGGCTTTACTTGCCACCTTGTGCATACCTGTTGCCCATGGAGGCCAGACAGAGAAGTTGGATTGCCCCTGGGAGTAGAGTTACAGGCCATTGAGAGCCACCATGTGCGAGATGGAGTTCAACACATGTCCTGGGAGAGCAGCTAGTGCTCTTAACTATTGAGCCACCTAGGTCTCTGACCTCTGTGGACATCCCAAATTAAACACACAAATCTAAGAATTTGAAGCTAGGATCCATATATGAGAGAGAAAATGTAGCATTTCTCTATCCTAGTATAAGATTTTTACTTGCATTCATTTTCCCACAAATTTCATTTTTCTTTAAGATGAGTTACACACACACACACACACAATATTTGTTATGCATTCACCACTTGATGGACACCTAGGCTGGTTTCATTTGGTATATATTGTGAGTAAAGCAGCAATGAAAATAAGTACAGTTGTTGTTATGATAATGCGTGTGGAAACTTGGCAGATTCCATAGCAAACGAGGTTGACTGAGGCAGGGGATAAACATGCCAGGCAGACAGAACTTAAGTGAGAAGTTTTATTAAAAAGAGGAGGGGACAAAGAAAGAGAAAAGAGGTAAAGAGACGCACACGTAGAGAGAGAGAGGGCCTAAGAGAAGAGGGAGACAGGAAAAGTCCTGTCTGCCCCAGGGGAACAGCGGGAAAGACAAAAGGAAGAGAGAGGAGCAGAAAGGAGAGCTTAAGTGGGTGGGGATCTTTCTTTTAAGGGGGTCCTTTGAATCTGCCTGCAGACTATAAAGCCATGGAACCCTTGGCTGACCGGAGTATTGCCTGAGTGCATTCTGCCAGGTGACAGTGGCAGACTAACAAAATGTCTGAATCCTTACAGTTATCACCATGTTAGTATACAGAGTTTGAATATACGAATATACAGCTAGGTCATATGGTAGTTCAACAGTGAAAACATCTATTTACATTCCCAATGGTGGATGAAGATCCATCCCCCCCACACACACACCCTTGCCAGCATTTCTTGTCATTTTTCATTATAATAGATATTCTAGATGGGGTGAGATGGAATGTACCTTTAAATGTAGTTTTCTAAAAGCTAAAGGTGTTGATTAATTTTTGAAATGTGTATTTGCCATTTGTATTTTTTCTTTTAAGAATGCTTTGTTCCGTTTTGCAATCCATTTTTATTGGGTTGCTTGTTTTCTTGAATTCTTTCTATATTCTAGGTGCTAATCCTCTATAACTCATTTTTATTAGGCAGTTTTTTTCTTGATGTTTGGTTTCTTGAGTTCTTTGCATATCCTAGGTGCTAGTCTTATGTTAGACATATAAGATGCCAAAGATTTTCTCCTGTTCCGTGCTTTACTTGATTAGAAGTTTCCTTTGCTTTTTAATTTCATGAGAGTCCATTTGTCAGCTTTGTTCTTACTTCTCAAGTGATTAGTGACCAATGTAGTTTTAAAGCTATCATGAATGGAATTGTTTCCCTGATTTCTGTAATTGAAGGATTGTCCTTTCTATATAGAAGCCTACTCACTTCCATATGTTGATTTTATATTCTTCCACTTTGCTAAAGGTTTTTTATCAGTTCCATGAGTTTTCCTGTGGAGTCTTTCGGGTTTCTTGTATATAAAAATCATATCATTTGCAAATAGAGATATTTTGACTTCTTTTTTGATGTGCGTCTTTTGTTAGCTTCTCTAAAGAAGTTCTATCAAGTTGTCAGTAGTAAAAGAATCATGCTGACTAAAGCACGTATTGTAATTCTAAGGCATGTGACAAGCAAACAAAAAGGGAGAATTGTTTCTCTTTTTTGTTTTTGTTTTGAGACAGGGTTTCTCTCTGGCTTTGGAGGCTAGAACTAGCTCTTATAGACTAGGCTGGTCTTGAACTCACAAGCATTTAATCAAACTTTAATGTTTTGAATTTATATGTCTGCTTAACAGATACCTCTCAATAATGTAGGTGTTGATTCTTGGTAATGGTCTATGTATGGAATTGGCTAAGATGGACGATTTTCTGTCCCATATGGCGCCTGTCATCTGGAGCTGCAGTAATTTGGAGGATCTATTTATCTGGAAATCTACAGGGTCTCTTCACATGCTTTGCACCAGTGTTGGCATCTTCTGGGTATTCAGCTGGGGCTCTTGCCAGAAGCAACTTGTTTAAACACCAGTTTAAACACCAGTCCACCAGTCCAGAGGGAAAAGGGTAACAACTGGCCAAATTAGTGTTCAGAATAAGTGATGAATACTTTTTATTTATGTGTGAAGATTAATTATATGTGTTAAACTGGCTTGGCTGTTGTGCTTAGAAAACTGAACATTATTCTATATGTTTCTGTGATGATGTGTTTTTAGATGGATTAACATTTAAACTTGTGATGACTCAGACTGAATAAAGCAGATTGTACTCTATAACTCAGATGAGCATCATCCAGTCATTTGGAATACTGATTAAAGCTAAAGTCCAACTGCCCTTGAGTAGGAGGAGAGACGTCAAAGCAGACAGAACTGCAGCTTGATCTGCATTAGATTTACTGACTTCTCCAGGCTGACCGTTCACTCTCTGTCTCCAACATGCACCCACACCCACACCCACACCCACACTCACTGTCTCTCTTTCTGTGGATGTAGCATGCATCTTTACTTTGTTCGTTTGAATGCAGGCTGTATTGCTAAATCTAGCAGTCCTCCAGGAAGAACCTCTGAATACATAATATAATGACCATTTGAGATGACATTTTCAAAGTGACAGGTCTGGTCAAAAATGTTGATCGGATTGCCCAAAAAAAAACAAAGACTGATAATATCTAGAATAAATGGGACGTGCACAGACACTATTGGCATCAAATAAGCATATGAATTTGTTGTCTTGAACTCATATTATTATGGTTTACCATGTTTCTAACAAATGGGGAGCACTTGCTTGTCTTAGAAAATGCACATGGTGATGTTTCTGATGTGCATAATTGCTAAAGAGCACTGGCTAAAGCTGCAGGTCATGAGGCCACCGTAGCATTTTTTGCTCTAGAGGAGAAAAAAAACAGCAACTATATATAAAGCATGTTTTTACAAGAATTGCAGCTACAGGCTCTTTGGTGTCTGCTTTGAATCTCAAGACAGCACCTCTTATGAGGTATCTCTGTTCTGTCTTCATGGATGTGTGACTACAACACACATGTTCCTAATCTCAGAGACAGATGGCAAGGAGTCTGCTTCAGACCCTTGCCAGAGCCGGGGAAAAAAGTCTGCCAACCTAGGCACCTGGAAAGGATGGTAGAAGATCAAATGTGTGAGAACACGTTCTGCTGTGAGGGTTGGTCATCTCCGGTGTTTACCGACCTGCATTTCCAGCAAGGAGGCAGGTTTAGGACCCCCACACACACACCTCTGCCTTGTCCTAGGGAGTTTTATGTCAGGTATGGAAAAAGAAGCTTTATAGGGCCAGTGCTTCTTTCATCTTATATGAAAAATTATATGTATGGAAAATGTAGGACTGCTGTACCTGGTAGGTAGAGTCAGGCTTTGGTGGACGTTAGAAAAGGGAGAATTTTCTCAGGCAGGGATTAACGAAGAGGTTTACAGATTCCTTCAGGAATAGGGATCTGAGCTCTATCACAAAGATTAAAGAGGGTGCTAAGTTGTGCACAAAAACTGAGTAGCTAACCAGGAGGTAGATTTTTCTTTTTAGGTGAATAGAATGGTGCCCTGAGGCCAAAAGCCATAGAGACAGCTAAGGACCTGTCAATTCAGCCATGAACAATGAGACCACACAGGTAAGGATAGAAGTGCACCCCTCAAGCTTTATCTGGAGTATGAAGGGGACTATTTTGGCAAATAGCATTCTCATTTAACATTTTATATATTTGTCATGCAGTTAAAAATATCTCTTTAAAACCCATTTCAGCCAACTAAACTCTGCTTCTTCACATCTGTGCAATAATGTGCTTCCCCAAATCATTTATACTTGTTCATGTAGTGCACTGTTGTTGAACTTACCCAGTTTTCCATCTTCTTCCCATATAACATATTTGACATACACATTTTAATTATTAAAGACAGTGGATTTTTAAAAGCTTTGATACATTCCCTGGAATAACTACAGAGTTTGGCAAGATTCATGCTACATACATCCTTTTAAGATGGAAATTGGAGATGAGTGATATCTTAATGTAATACCGGGAGAGGAAAACTTGGCACACTTTCTTTGTGGAAATCCTTGGCAATGGTCAACGATTGAGGAAAGAGAGGCCGTGACAACCCTTGCTTCCTTAAGGCTGTACTCAGAGTCTTGGGCACACAAGCAAGCATGGTCAATGCAGCCTAGCTAAAGTGACAAAAGATTTCATTTAGAGAAACCTCAGAACCTTTCTTAGAAACAAATCCAATAATAACAAATATGTAATACCGATACAGTTAGGGATTAAAACATGAAAACTGTTGGCTGTGCTTTGTTTGTGGGTATGTTCATGAGTCATTAAACACAGAACAAAGCATGAGAATGATGAAAATAGCCTGTGAAGAGCGGTTCCTACTAGTGCTAAGATGACTGGAAGGGTCGCTGAGAGAAGTCCATTCTGGAATAATGTGCTCTTTAGCCTTGACTGCATAGGAATTCGCCTATAATGGCTTTATGATGGTTTTTTTAAATGTCCTAAATCAAAAATAGTTATCATAAGTAAATTTCTTAATTAGTTTCTATCTTGTATTATCAACGATCAATTATCTACTTTGCAAATGCAGAAAATGCATTCACTACTAGGACCAGATTAATAATCTTCAGCCCCACCATAATATTATCAGAGTGCTATGTTTCCTCCAATTATCATCTACACATGTGCATACATGTGTATGCATATGTTCATTGTATGTGTGATGAACACAAGTCTAACTTAAATGAACCAACAGGAAGCAAGAAGGTTTGGTTTGTGGTTCCTCTGTATTGAGATGATGCTTGCCATCTGTGCTACTCCATCTGACCCACTTCTGGTGCTATTCCATTGGGAAAATTCTAACAATATGAAGCCTAAGAGTTTCCCTAAGCTTTTAGGGACCTCAGCTCAGGGTGGATTTTGTGGCTTTGCTACTTAAAGGAACGGACTTAGGAGTAGCCAAATTATGAAAATAGCACTATTGGTTTTCACCACTTATTATTGAAATAAAATTTTATTGTTACTTTCTGCTTGCCTTACTATCCTAATGAAACATTTTGACGCCCTAGTGCTCAGCAAAATGGATATAAAAGTCAGGATAGTCAAATGCAACATTGGTCTGTAAGACAGCATAGTTTCTACCTGTAAGTACCCACATACTTTATTTTCAATATTTCTAAATTCAAAACAGCACTTGATTGCCATTGCAATTCCCTTTTTACTCATCCTTATTTAGATGGTATTGTTTAACTCAAACATTCCAAGACTTCTAGTATCCTTGCACATCTGGAAATATATTCAGGAAGGTTACATTGTTAAAAATGTGTTGATCCAAGCCAGGCTTTGGTGGTGCATGCCTTTAATCTCAGCACTCAGGAGGCAGAGGCAGGCAGATCTCTGTGAGTTGGAGGCCATCCTGGTCTACAGAGCAAGTTACAAGAGAGCCTCCAAAAAATACAGAGAAAGCCTGTCTTGAAAAACCAAAAAAAAATTGTGTTGGTCCTTTTGTGACCCAGCTTATATGTCAGTTTTGGAAAGTAGTACACAAGTTTATTTATTTACTTAATTACTTACTTATTGTGGTAGTGGAGACTGATCCTGGAGCCTTTTACATACTAGAAAAGTGCTATCACTGAACTATACTCACAATGCACAGGTTCAGTTTGAAGATATTTTCAACAGTTATTTGCTGTGTTTCACATGTTGATAAGATAAAATGTATTACTAGTTTTGCAAATCTTTAATATCGTACTGATATTTCCTAATTATACTAATATACCCAAAATTCACACTATGCTTTCTTATGTTAATTATAGAGTTTTCTGCGTATTTGTTGTGATTTGAATCTGAAATGCCCAACCCTGTCCCTGACCACTTGGCTGCCTGTTGTTGGATTTGAAGAAAATGATAGGTTTCTGAGGGCTATGACCTAATCAATGGCTTAATCTCTTTGTCAGCAGGAGACAGACAGGCAGCTCCACACTGCCACCCTCAGTAGCCTAAGAATTCCCCTAAGCTTTTAGGGACCTCAGCTCAGGTTGCATTTTATGGCTTTGCTACTGAAAGGAATGAACTTTGGAGTAGTCAATTCATGAAGCTGTGCTGGAGATTTTATTTTTAATTTTATGATCCTAATTAATTTTATTTAAATTAAAAACAATCTTATTTCACACAACAATCCCAGTTCCCTCTTCCTCCCATCCTCCCATTCCCCCCACTATCTACCCATCCCACACCCCCTTTTCCACTCCCCCCTCCACTCCTCAGGGTGGTGGAAGCCTCCCATGGGAGATCATCAAAATCTGTCACATCATTTGGGGCAGGATCGAGTCCCTCCTCTCTGTATCTAGGCTAAGAGAGTAGCCCTCCATAGGGAATGGGCTCCAAAAACCTGTCAATGTACTAGGGATAAATACTGTTCCACTTCCTGAGACCCCATAGACTTCCCAAGTCTCCTAACTGACACCCATGTTCAGGGGGCCTGGTTTGGTCCAATGCTGGTTTCCCAGCTGTCAGTCTGAGGTCCATGAGCATCCCTTTGTTCAGGTCAGCTGTGTCTGTGGGTTTCTCCAGCCTGGTCTTGATACCTTTGTGCATTACTCCTCCCTCTCTACAATTGGATTCCAGGAGTTCGGCTCAGTGTTTACATGCTATTTTAATAAAAACTTAGTCACGACAGTTGAGAGAAAGCTAGGCTCTCAGAAGAAAGTAAGACACATGTGAGAGAATGCGTATGAGCTTCTCAAAAAAAGAGTTGCAGAGCATTAGGTGTACCCAAGTGTGGGCATGGGCTCCTCAAGGAAGAGTAATATATTAATTGTCAACATTAGCCATACTATACTATTTTGATGGCTCTCAGATTACATTTCAGAAAATGGTTAAGAAATCATTTTCCTTTGCCTCTTTAGATAAGTGAGATTATAGGGTGGCTGTGAAGATGGCTTAGGTGGAATTAGAATCTGATAAGAGAAAACCAGAAGCCACTAGTATTGCACAATGTGTTTAGTACATCTCCTTTCCTTGTAAGTGGTTTTTCAGGTGGGAAGGCAGAAAGGCCTTTTGCTCAAGGCAGGCAAGTTAGCAGCTGGTAGCAGTCCAATAGCAGCTGGATAGGAGTTCTTAACAGTATGCTGGAATTTTTGCTTCTTTAGCTGGCAAGATGCTTTGACTGGATTCTAGGGCAAGGGGGAGTCCTTTCTCCTTCTCATGTCCCCAATATTTCCCCTGGCTTTATTATCCTGCCTCCATTTGATGAGTCCACAATGATGACCATATTGAAAGTTGGTTGAGACAAGCAGATCAGCTGGTACATATCTTGCAAAATAGAACTTGTGGCTGGCCCCTTCCCATCTCTGTCTACATCATGGCAGAGAAATAAGCAGCCTTTGCCACATACTATTGAGTTTTGATGCTTCTGCTTCTTCTCAGGCCCCAATGCAACAGAACCAACTGATGACGGCTGAAACTACTGAAAACCGTGAGGCAAAATAAATCTATGCTCATTTAAGCTGACTTTTTCGCGTATTTGTCATGGTGAGAGAAAAGTAATTTATCTTTACTGATTTTTATTTTTGTGATAGTGAATACTGTCAGCTTAACAGAATCTAGAATCTCCTGGGGAAATGTCTGTCAGGGATTATATTGATTAGGTTAACCCCTGGGGTATATGTGTCAAGGCTTATCTAAATTAAGTTAATTGAGGTGAAAAGACTCATACTGGATGTGGGTGGGGCCTTTCGGGGAAGGGGGATTCCAAGACTGCATGAGAAGTGAGAAAGCTTACAGAACAGTGTCTATCACACTGCTTCCTGCAGAACAGTGTCTATCACACTGCTTCCTGCAGAACAGTGTCTATCACACTGCTTCCTGCCTGCAAACTCCATGTGGCCACCTGCCACCTCTAAGCTTTTGCCACCATGCTTTCCCTACCATGGTGGACCATCCCCTTGTACTGTCAACCAAAATAAGTGTCTTTTCTCTTAAGTTGCTTGTATCAGGACATTTAAGGACAGCAATAGGGAAAGCAATGAAGCATCCTTTCATGGAATGATACAAGTTAAGGAGTATGAGACTCCTAGTGGGTTGATTGGCAGTTTTTCTTTATTAACTTTCCCTGTTTATTATAGAACATTCTGTGATATTTAAAAAGCAGTATCAGATATCTCATAGAATATACCTTTCACTGTTTTCTGAGGTTCATCTTTTCTCTGTCATAGACTTAATGTGAACATTTTATCACCATCTTATATTTTTCCTTTTCATTGCTTTTCTTAGAATAGGAAGGGGACAGGCTGTGGATTTTAATCTAATTGTTGCTTCTGATAAATTACAAACTTAGAGTCTTAGGAACTGAGCTATATTTCTTCTCTAAACATTGCAAGCTCAATCTCTCAGTCTCTATGTTCTCGTTGGCTGATTTTATCTTCTTCTGCAGTTATTACTGCAGTCCTAAGAATGACAATTTAATACTTCTAGGCAGACCTGTCTTATCCTACAGGCTTTTGCCCGCTTGTCTAGAGTTCATTAAGATTTGTAAAAACGAAAGGTCTGATATAAACAGTTTCAGACATCCACGATTGAACCTCCAGGAGATGGGGAAGCCAGCTGCAATCTTTGCACAGTGTTCTCATATCCTCTGTGGAGTGTTGAAACTGGCTGATACCAACAGAAATGGAGTCTGGCTGACTTGTTGGCTGATAGTCCTTTTGCTCAAGGCAGGCAGGACAGGAAGAAAGAGTCCGATGACAGCTAGTTAGAAGTCCACTTGCCCTATCCATCCCTCAATTCCTGCACATTTACACAAAAAGGACATAATTTAACAGTAATTGTGACTTTTAACAGTACTTAATACTTATCTAGTGCTCCAGAGAGAGGTTTGTCCTCTTTCTATCTCGGTTGCAATTATAATACAAGTGCAAATATAATACTGAAAAATCTAAAATCTAGCTCCTTCTAAACAAAATCAGCATGGCATTATATAATACATGTGATTATCAGGAAAGGAGATAGAACAAACGTAGAGTGTTGATAATCTTGTTAATGAAATCCAGACTTTTTTCTGTTCCTGGGACAATTTTTAATCTTAAGTAAATAGTTCTATCTTGTTCTAGTAAACAAAAGTAAGTATAAAGTATGTTCAAAAGGTTGCCAACTGAAATGTGCTACAATGAAAATTGCTCCTGAGTTTGACTAAATAATAGCTAATTTGGGGGTGGTCTCATATAGCATAGGAGAGCCTCAAACTCAAAATATTTCTACCTCCACGCCCAAATTCTAAGATTACAGGACAGTGTCACCACCCCCAACATGAAAGGTGAGACAGAGGCAGTGTTTTTTTCTATGAGGCTCTGCATCTGACTCCACTGTGACTACATATAGGACAAAGACAAAAATTACAAGTGATATTTCTGGATGACAGGATGTGGTTGTTTATGCTCTTATTTACTTTTCAGCACAATCTAAATGTGCATTAAACCTTTCATTGTATATTTCTAAAAGATAGCAAATTTTGAATGTTCATCATAAGGTCTTTGTTGTGTATAAAAAATAAATCAACCAGAAAGAAAAATTATGGACTGTTGCATATGACTTTAGATTAATAATTGTGAAATTGTTTAATAACAATAAATATATACCCATTGGCTATTAAATAGGTTATATTAGGCACTGTGCCAAACACTGAGCTTCAGGATGGCAAAGACAAAACAATTGTTATAAATGGACAGGGCATGGACCTACACAGAAAGTATAATGTATAATTTTAGTATCATAAATTTATTAGTAGTAATGCAGTAATTTAACTGAACAATGTTAAAAATTAAAGACAGTACTAGCTTAACTATACTCATACACTGAATATTTAATAGAGTTCAATTTAATAATTTTAGAACTGTACATTCATTGTGTATTCAAGTAAGGGAATTCAGATGGTGTTTGTAAAATTGTTACATTTCTGACAGTTTCTTTGTACCTATGTTGTCAAAACTTAAGACATATGAAAAATCAAGTGGGTCACTGCTATAAAAGTAATCTCTGATTTAGAGGTTGCTGAACAGTGGACAACAAAGCCTAGAAGGGCACAAAGGTGTCAAGAATTCAATCTTAGTATTTCCCTTATGTGCACAGGTAGGTGCACTGTGTTCCCATGAACACTAACATATTGTAAGGGCTATAATTTTTTGCATATGAGATTAAAACTTTGGGGTGCTTCTTTCAAGTTTCCAGATCAGTGATTACTAGCCTTCTTTTATAGAGTCAATTAGAAACAGTATCAAACAGGATTTCTAACTCCACTGTACTTAGCTTATGAGAATAATCAACAATTTCCAAATTACTCTGTCAGGCCCTGAGCAACTAAAATTGAGACAATATTACTGTCTAGAGGATACACATTTACATAAAAATCATAAAGTAAAATAGTTTACATGGTTTTTTAAGAGGTCACAATTGTTTCTGTGGGTATCAACACAATGGTTACCCACAGAAACAGCTGACCTGAGCTAGTGGGAGCTCACTGACTCTGGAGTGATGGGGAGTTGGGAGATCCTGCACAGGACCAAACTAGGACCTCTGAATGTGGGTGACAGTTGTGTGACTTGGGCAGTGTGTGGGGTTGCTCACAGTGGAACCAGGATTTATCTCTAGTGCATGAATTAGAGATAATTCCCTATGGAAAGATACTCTCTCAGTCTAAATACAGGGCCTAGGTCCTGCCTCAAAGAGATGTGTGTGCCAGACTTCCTTGACTCCCCACGGGAAGCCTTACCTTCTCTGAAATGAATGGGGGTGGAGTGGGGTGATTATGGAGCAAACAGGAGGAGGGAGAAAGTGGGAACTGGGATTGGTATGTAAAATGAGAAAAGATTGGTTTTAAAATTTTTAAAAATGAAAAAAAGGGCTCACAGTGGCATTTCTTTCAGGTATGGATGGGACAAACAGGATGCAGCCAGAGAATGCCTGTTCCCCAGTGAAACTGATGTTTCCAGGAAGTCTGTTAAACTGGGTGGGCAGACCTGCTGAGAGCTGCTTTAAGGGAAATCCACCCCGGGGTCGAACCACCATAAAGCTGTTAGCCTATTTGTGTTCTGGAGGTTTACAGTAATGCAGCTCTGGACATAACCCTGAAAGGCATCTGCTATCTATTGTGCTAGGCCCCACTGCACCTGTGCCAGAGCTTTTTGAATGGGGGCATAAATACAACACCAGAAAGGGCTACTTTCTTAAGAACCATGGGGATTGTACTCACCTGGATAAATATGTCAAGTTATAAAGGCATTTTCCATACTATTACACTAAGGTCACTACATACTACAAATAAATCAGATTTAGCTATGCAGAGGACTGCAGGCATGTCATCCCCAGGTACAGAAAGCAGGAATCAGAAGGGGACATGTGCCCAAATCACATGCCTATAATCAGAGAAGTGGGATTGCAACATACAAATGACATGGAGGAACACACCTTTTTCCTGTATGGAATTAGGAGAATGGGCAAGGACTGAGGATTCCCCTCAGTTCACCGTAGCTATTTGGTAAGGGCTGGAGGCCTGGGCTTATTGAATGCTGGCTAGCAAGTAGGGAAAAACCTAAGCCAGCAGAGTCCCCACCTGATCTCGTTTATTCCACACCTTTGTAAAACTCTACCGACCCCTAAGTCACAGAAGAGACTACAGGGTAATCTTAAATTGTATTTATGAGGATTTACGCCTTAAGTTTGTTGAGCAAATAATTATATACACCTGCAATAAATTCATAAAATCTCTGAAAAAGTTTATGAAACTCCAAACAAAAGGAAAATTATATGCTTGTGCCCCCTCCCCAATATTGTTGAATTTCAGACTTTTTTGTGGTTCATTTCTTATGTAAGTATATATGCTTTATAAGGAGACGATAATAAATACTCACATTGCTTTTCAGTTGCTTTATTTACTTTACATTTTCCATGCAAATGGGCAACATTGTATTGTTGACAGAAACTTACACTGAGTGGGAAGGCAATCTCCAATTAGAGAAGCTGGCAACACAAGACCCACCTGGCACATGGAAATAATACAAGGCTCACCACAAAGATCAGTAAAGGCATGTCAGGAAAATGCAAGGACTAGGAATACATCGGGAATCACAGTATGAATCTCAGGGAAAATGGCTGAAGTCAAGGCATAAGGCAGAATTCATCGTGGTGATCATGGTGATTAGAGAGCTCCCCCATGAGAATGCGCAGACAATTTCTCAACTGCAGCTCCCTAAGTTTTCTCCTGATTTCTCTCATCTCCTCCATGAACATTTCCATATCATCTCCATCTCCACCCAACCCATCATGAATCTGCCTATTGGGTATGGCCCATCGAAAGTTAGGGGCAAGTCGGCGAGCCTGCCCTCTTCGGTTGTGGTTGTTCGCTGCAGGCTGGTGGCCATCACCTCCTCCCAAAGGGCGGTCTTCTTGTCCATTCTGCAGGGGCTGATCCATTTCTTCGTTTTCCTGGTGGATATTTGCCATGATGAGATTTTGTTTTCTGGTTGTTATTCTTTGAACACAAGTAAGACAGGGCAAGGAAAGAAACTGAATGCTTGGTGCACTGACTAGCAATATTCTGAGACTAACAACAAAAATTTTCATTATCACTTACCCCCCCCCACCTTAAGAGTCTCCAGGCAACCTTTAGGGAGCCTCCATTTCGAGCCCCTCCCACCAGCTCTCTCTTTTCGCTCCCTCCTCCAAAGCCCACCATTTTTTATTTCCCAGGATCCTTTCCCTGAGCTCTGCAGGCACCAAAATGGAGGACTGAGATGGAGAGTAGGGTGGGGTGGGGGCTCTCAGTGGGGTCCCAGACAGGGCTTTCCGCAAGCTCCTTCAGCCTCCCCCCAGTCCCCGAAACACACTAACCCTGAACCGACCTGGGCCTATCCCTTGCCGCGTAGTCCTCCTCTCAATTGTCGCTGCGAGACGTTCCAGCCGCGACTCCGCTATTAGACCTGAGACAGGGTGGGATGGGAGAGACTCAGCGTGGAACTCAGTACCGCACCCCGCCCCCCGCCCATCCCCCTACCCGGGCGCCCACAATCTCCACCAGCCGGCTCCCTTCCCCGCTCCCCAGCGCTAGGTCTAGCACTCTTTCCCCGCCAGCAGGCCCAGCCGGCCCTTTCCCGAGACCCCCGCCATACCCTCCCACAAGCAGGGTCGCCCCTTCCCGGGCGCAGCCACTGTTCTCTATGCGGTGCAATAAGCCGCGCAGCCACTGCACCGTCCTCCAGTGCGCTCTGGAGCATCGGGAGGCTGTAGCCCCCAGGGCCGCTGCGTGCTGGCCTCTTACCTGCTCTGCTCGCCCAGGGCCCGATGCCAGCCCGCCCTGCGCAGGGAAGCACGGAGCTGGTGGCCAGACACAAGTGAAGACTGCACCCAAGGCTGCGTCGCTCTGCAGCCCCAGGTCACGTGAGGGCCCCGCGTCACCGCCAAGCTCGCTCCCCTGCTCAGGAGGCCAGTGCGACAGGAGGCCCCGCCTCCACCTCCCCGCCGCGAGCGAGCACCTCAGGCCTCACCCGTCACTCATCCAGATCCTCGCCAATCTGAGGACCCACAAGTGGCATCACCGTCTGGAGGCTGGACTTCTCCCTTCCCTGTTACCAGGGAGAGTCTGCACCATCCTCCATCTCTGCCGCCCTCACCCCCATTATAGCCAGGTCTTGCCTTTAGCCTTCTTTGAGATTCCTCTCCACCCTAGCCAAATGTTTTCCCCATGACCTCTCCCCCACAGACACCCTGAAGTGGAGAATGGGGTAGATTGTACATACTTCTCTTTATTTCCTTAAAAAAAATCAACATCCTTCAGAACATTCAAAATTATAAGGGTCACTCCTTTTCTGGAATGCTGGGGATAGATCCTCTAGCCTCATAATTGCTGGACAAGCTCTCTTCTGAACCATATTGCCAGACCGCTCCACCCCCTGCCACCACACACACTTTTTAAACTTCAAAAACAAAATGAGGACAGTGCATGCCTATGTTGTTGGAGCTGCACTTGAATTTTCAATCCTTCTGGGTCACCCGCCCTTGTAGCTAAGGTTTCAGGCCTGTGCTACCAAGGCTGGTGGATTTTCAGCTTTGAAAGAAATGCTTCATTCTGCAGAACGAAAAAAAAAACTTGTTTATGTTAACCTGTTTGTATCACACAGAAAATACATTCTCTAGGATTTGAATGGCTGTTTTGAAACATAATGTTAGTCTGTTTCAATTTTTGATTTTATTTTAAGAAGGAGGGGCTCTTGCTGAATACAGCTAATGCTGATCTGAAATAGTTCCTTCAGAGACGTCATAGTTTTATATGATTTCTTATGAAAGGGTCTCACTATGTAGTCTCAGTTGACCTGGAACTCACTCTATCAAACAGAATGGCCTCAAACTTGGGGTGATCTTTCCTGCTCTGCTTCCTCCCCCTGCCTCCTATGTGCCTGTATTATATGAGATTTCTCTGAGTCCCTAATCCTCAAGAAAAGGACCCATTTAATTCCTTGCTTTCCTCTCCAACCCTTTCAAACTACTCTCTAAATGTTTAATGAGCTGAGAACTAGAAAATATCTAGACGTTACTCCCCAAACTTCCTACTCTGGTGTGAATGTTTCAAAAAATATTAGAAATAAGCAAAGGCTGGGTGAAGCAATTAAACTTATACCAGAACTCATCTTGAATACAACTGTTTCTTCCACCCTGAAATCACTTTGTTTGTTTTTTGGTTATTTGCTTGTTTTGAGACTAAGTCTCACTCTGTGGCCCAGACAGGCTGGGAGTTGAAGTCAGCTTCTTTTTTAAAAAATTATCACAGCTAGAAGATAGATTTTTGGAAACATAGTATTGTCATTTACAATTTAATAACATCATTATGAGAAAAAGTAGTTGGGCCTCACTGTCTCCTCCCCTGATAAATGAGGCAGGATACTGGTGTGTTAAGGTTTGGGAACTGTATATTACATCTAAAATTATGAGTTTAGAGATGTTACCATATAACTCCAAAATCTCAAATTGAAAAATCAGAGGCAGTAATTGTCTTTTAAAGTAATGCTAGTGATTTCTGGATTCTGCCTCACAGGTATCAACACTACCTTTTTAAAAATGAAAAGTTTAGACAAACTGATCAACTGGAACAAAGAATGACTCACAAACCAAGAAGCCCATAAAGCCCCAACAGGTTCGGAGAGGCTGTTCTTCAACGTGGCCATGCCACATATTTTGGACAGAACATGGAAATGTACAGAAAACAGAGCTGAGGTGGAGAGACAGCTTGATTGATTACAGCTTAGTACCTGCCCTTTTTTTTTAAAGCATAGTGTGTTGGTGAGTTGTCAAGTTGATACAAACCAGATTCACCTGGAAAGAGGGACACTTGCTTCCATCTAATTGAACTGTAGGCAAGCTTATGATCATTTTCTTGTTTAATGATTGGTGTTCAAGGACCAACCAAGCCAATTGTTGGCAGAGATACCTCTGGACAGATGGTCCTAGGTTATATAAGAAAGCAGAGGAGAAAACCATGGAAAGCAAGCCACCGAACAGCACTCCTCCATGGTCTCACCTTCAGTTCTTGCCTTGGCTTAGCTCAGTGTTGGGTTATAACCTGTAAGACAAATAGACCATTCCCTCCCCGGAGCTGCTTTGAGTCATGATGTTTTACCACAGCAACAAAGCACAAATGAGAACATAGGGTTAGAAAGTTCCTTCCCAACTGCTGACTGAAGGTGGAATGCTGTGAATGGTTGAGAATGAACTATTTGTTAGAAAAGTATACTCCAAAGTTAGGCTACCATTTAACCTTTTTCTTAAGTTAGCATGCAGTTTCTTGTGTAATTGGCCAAGTATAGGTCCATCTTTAGGTCAAATTTTTGTTTAATTTAATGTGATAGAGACCACTGACTTGTAGGATTTGGACAAGAAGCATGACCTGGGATATCAGACAAATCTGAGTTCAGGTTTGGTCTGCTAGAGTAATGACGTGTAACTTTGAGTCAATTACTTTTCAGTGTTTTGTGCTTCCAAAGTGAAACAGGGATTGTTAGAAGAATATAGTTACATATAAGAATTCACCGCAGAACCTAGCAAATCAAAGATAAAACTGACTAATTATTTTTTACTACCATTAACTTGTTTCTAACAAGATTTTAAGAATATTAATTCGTGGTACTTCCTTATCTATATTAACTTGTGAAATCCACATGTCTACTTTGCATACTTAGTGATTTATGGTATTTTTGTACAAAGTAGGTGAATATTTGCTGAATGAAGGAAAGCATCCCTGCTTAAAATAATTGTTGTTGGTGATGTTGTTCTGAAGCCTATAGTGCAAAGTAGAAAAACATTAATGGATTACATTGAAAGAATCCCCTGAAAGTAGAGAAATCATTGTGGCTTAACCACTGAATATAAAGTTTATCACGTAGATTTTTATTCCTTTCAGTGGGTGCATGGTTGAACATTGCCCTTTTGATCCATCTTGGATAAGTCTTTTGTTTGCAGCCACCTAATTTTCTTGAACAAAACATACATATGTATGTACTTTTAAATCAAAATTTATATAGGAGATTGGTTACAATAAAGTAGTGGCTTTTTCCTTTTTTTCTTTTTCTTTTGGTTTTTCAAGACAGGATTTCTGTTGTGAAACAGAAAGAAAACTGAAAAGATGATACAGTGGTGTGGAAAGGTGTAGAAAGGGCCAGGATTGTTTTTCTTCCAAAGCTCCCAATTCTGAACAAATAAAAAACAAATCCATCTATGCTGGCAGGGTCCAAAGTTGACCTTGAGGATACAAAAGTTTAGGATACAGAGTTGCAAAGTAGTACAAAAAGACACATATTATAGTAATGTCAATATAAAAGTTACATGTAGGATACTGCCCATTCTTCAGAGATGCTAGCAAAATCTAAGA